GGGTATGTGGAGGGAGTTGTTAGAATTTTGGGCATTGGTAGAAACACGTGCGCACATGTGCAACTTCCGTTAAAAATCTATTGCTAACTTTCAACAATTTGCAGCACAGAGCAGCGGCGATGGTATACAAAAGACTAGAGATGCGAGCATTTAGCATTTTTGCAACACGACACGAACACCTCAAAAATGGTGCAGATGTTAAGCACATGTGTTTCAAAATAAAAAAAAATCGTATTATGCATATGAAAAATGCTAATAAAATTATATTTATTTAACAAATAAAATAATGAATAAATATTCGTGTCACGAATGCAAACATGACACGAACCAAACTCAAGCAATAGACAGAAGGTGCGCGTTTTGGCTTGTGCGTGTGTGTGTGTGGGTGTGTGTGTGTGTAAGTGAGTTAGAGTTTCCTGTAGCTGTCGTAGCAACTTCCGGCACTGTTTGCAGCGTCAACGTCGACGCCAACGTCTGCAACGTCTGCTAAAACACTTATTTGGCTAAAGGCTAAAAACTCAAAGCCAAAAAAAGGCAGCAACAGCAATAACAGCAAACGGGTGGCCGCCATCTTAACTTACTTACACTTGCAAAAGCTACCTGCTATACAACAAAAAAAAACCACGAATTTTGACAGATGTTCAACGCGAGCAAAGCTCACTGATCGCGCTCTTATTTAGAAGAGAGAGAAAGAAAGAACGCGTTAATGTGAATTTATACTGTTGGAGGGGGGAAGCATCTCAGATGAGAGCGTCAGTCTTCTTTTACTGTTAGCTTAAGACTAGGACAGGCGTCGCGTGTAGCATGGCTAGATTCGTGCCGTGGCTGCATTTGGTTGTTAGTTTCTTTAGCAAGCTTTGAGTTTCGTTTGCTGCTGCTACTTCAATATTTTTTTTACGTGCATATGTAATCACAGACAGCCAGAGAGACAGATAGTGAGTAAGTAGCAGTAGTATTTATAAGTACGAGTTGTGTGTACGAAAGTAATACACGCATACAGCTACGTGCGCATGTGAGCGTGTGTGTGCTTAAAAAATTGCACAAAGTTCAAGCCAGCTTTAGATGTATGCGTGTGTGTGTGTGGGTGCTGTTTAACTCAGTCATGGAACTGTTGCTGAAGTCACGTAATTCAAATAACTAAAGTTGGCGTAAATATGCCAAGCATACACAACAGCAGCGCGAATTTACACACACATACACACCCACACACAAACACACACACACACAAACACACTCACACACAAACGCCCTTTCAACCAAACACAATTGCATAGCTGTTGGTCGTTTGTTGTTGTTGTTATTGTCGGTTGTCAGTTAGATAGATATGGAATAGGAGTGAGAGAGGGCGAAAGAAACGATAGACGATAGACGAGAGGAGAGGCGCAAAGAGGGATAGAGACAGATAGATGGCTTAGTGTGCTGTTTGAAGCTTTAAGCGTGTTAATTTTGTAATTTGTATTAAGCGCTCGTTTTAATTGGCCAATCAGCGACGAGCATAAAGCAATGCAAATGCAGCTGCAGTTGCAGCGGTAAATCGACGAGGCTTTCTGCACGCCAGCCAATTAACTCCCTTCACAATTACTGTTCTCGAACATTTAACGGCTTTCATGTTACCGACAAGCCACCAATCCGAACAATCGAACATAATACTGGAGCTTAAATTAAGGTATAGTTTTGAAATGCTTCTGCTTCTGAAAAAAAACTATTATTATAGTATTTATTATTATTTTTATTATTAATATACTAATAGTTTCTAATTTGTTTATTCGAGTGGCGCAACGTGAGGGTGTTTAAGTAAAACTAAAAGATAGCTCATTCATTTTTTAATTAATTTTTTTGTTGCTGAAATTTTTTTAAAGCAGCATTACAATTATAATGGGTATTTTATTGCTTTTGGAAAAGTAATAAGCATTGGTGGTAAGCAAAAAAGCATTATCTGCTTTAATTAATATAAATTCCGCGAGTTATTAGCTCCGTTCTCTTATTATGATTGCTCTTTTACTTTTGTCCACCTGTCGGCAGTTAATGTCGTTGCCAGACACTTAACATGCTTGACATTTTGACAGTTGCAGCTGTTATTGTTGTTGTTCTTGTTACGCCGATTCTGATCTTAGCAGCGGCGACTGTTGTTGTTGACACTATATGCATATTGATTTTGATTTATATCCACAACTTAACATTAATTAGTTAAAAGCACTCTCTCTCTCTCTCTCTCTCTCTCTCTCTCTCTCTCTCTTTCGCCCACTCACATTCCAGTGCAGTGCCTGGCAGCTTAGTGGCAGCTTAACAGTGGCATTAACGCTGGCCAGCATTGCATAATATAACTAAATACATTATGTTAAGTGGGTGCAGTGCAGAGAGGGTCGCGAACCACTAATGAGTTAGTCGGCAACGCTTTAGGAAATGATTTTAAAGCTATCTGAGCAGCGTTAAGCGGGCACTTAAGATGCTGCTGCCGCTGGTGCTGCTGCTGCCAGACGCCATTTTGTAATTAGCCGCATTACAAGTAGCACTCGTTGAAATTTTTGCGTCTCCTCTGTATGTTAATGAGTTTTCTTGCCTTTGTCTTATCTCTTCAGTGGACATGAGCGCCCATCCAATTGAATTTAAAAGCAACCGACCCCCCCCCCCCCCACACACACACACACAAATCCGTAGCCGCCTTATTCCACTTGACGCCGCCTTTAAGTTGCATAAGATGTAATATGAAAAGTGGGCGGCCGCTTTTCGGCAAAACTTCAAATTGCATTTTTGGCCAAAAGCGTAAACGTATAAAAAAAAAATAGCAAAAGAAAAAGAATAACACAGCAGCAATGTGAAAGAAAATGGAAAAAAATCCTATTGACAGACAGGCGCAGGGTTGCCATAATGGAGAGATGGAGAAAGAAGATGCGCTGGTGAATGGTGGGTGTGTGCTTTGTGGGGGTGGGGGTGGGGGGTATAGAAAAGTGCAAACAGCAAAGCACAAACGGCGATTCGTGCATATGTGCGTCAGTGTTGCCATTTCAGCTGACAGCTTTACATGGCTTGCAGGTTTTTTTTGGCTGTCTCACATAGTTTGTAGCAACTAGCCATATTTAGCTTTTTTTATTTTCACATTTGGGCAACACTGCCACTGTGCTTCCCTCTGTCCATGTGTGTGTGTGTGTGTGTGTGTGTGTGCGAACAACATTTTCTTATCTAAATAATATTTGGCGGGGCCGGCAACGACGTTTTTCTCTAGCTGATTGAACAAAGTTTGTTGCCACTCATTGTCGTTGTTGTTGTTGTTGTTATTGCTGTTATTATTGTTTGCTTTTCGAGTAGTGCAAAAATTGTTTCTGATAAAGTTTAGCGACCAGCAGGAAGGATGCCAGCAACGAGAGCAGTTTCGTTTTTTCTATTCAATATACATATATATTTTTGTAGCTGTCAAATGCGGTAAGCAACAAATGCTCGCAAAAATATGAATTTACATACATATATATTATATATTATTTATATACATATATATATATGTTTATATACATACATGTATGTATATGCAAATATCAGAAGAGTGCCAGAGGTGCCACGCAAAGAGATGTAAGTGCCTTCTGGTAAGTAGCATCCCATTGGTGAAGTGATCAAGTGGCGATTAGCCCCCCGTTCCCAGATATGCCTGTGTCTAAAAGTGTACATTGCCAAAGCATTGGCGAGTAAGTACTGCAAAATGGAATACTTTTTTAGCAAAGTTGGATTCAGCTGGGCACAGCCAAAGAGAGAGGAAGAGAGAGAGAGAAAAAGAGTCCGTTTGAATTACAGTTTTAAGACACTAGAAGATGAACAGTTTGAGTAGCGACTAGGCCACGTGGCAATTCAGTTTTAAGGCAATTGCGCAGTTTATTTTGCAGCTGGAGAAGCATAACCAACTGGAATTCAAAATTTGAAATATTTCATTTAAATTTACTGTTGTGTTTAGTTTGTTAATTTGCGATATTGTAGTTTCACAGTGCACTCGCATACCACTTGTTATCTTTGCATCTATGCGATGTGGGCGTGTGACAGAGAAAGAAAGGGAGAGGGAAAGAGATCAATAAATCCGAATAAAAATGCCAGTGGCAGTTTAATTTAATTGTATATTTACTAAACTATTTGTTTTTATATTTCTTTGTTTGTTTTCTGGCTTCGAAGCTGGAAAATAATTACAATTTAAATTAATAATTTTCATATTTAACATATTTTGGGTTTTTTTTTTCTTTTTGTTTTTTGTTATTCTTTATTTTTTATATGTGTTTTAAATGGTAGGTTTGTTTTTGTGTTGTTTGGTTTTCTCCTCCACAGCAATTTGGCGTCTGCAACGGCAATGCCAAAGACCAAAAAAAAAAACAAAAAGAAAAATTAAATGTTTTTTCAATGTTTAACAAATTTGCAGCTTGTTATTCTCACTAGAAACTATATATTATATATTTATAATCTATACGAATTATAAACTTAAAGCAGTGTGTGTGGCTGTGTGTAAATCTTCCTCTTCTTCATCGTCATCTTGTTTCTTACGCCTTTTACTCGTTATTTTAGTTGTTGTTCGCTTTGCACTGGGGATAGACTACTGGTAAATACCATCGATAGTCTCCTACCTAACGGTAATTGCTCAAGAATTCAGCATTTTTTTTTCGAAAGAAGCAAACTTAAGTGTAGAAAATGATATCTGGCATTTGTTGAATTGTGGAATTTTCAGTATGTGTACAACAAGTGGGCTGGGCAGGGCAAGGGCGTGGCAGCGCAGTGTATTATAATAATATATATATACATATATATATATGATACAGAAGTTCGGGTGAGATTTCAGTTGTGTCTTGAACAAAAACATTGCTTTGTTTTAGTTTGTTATTATTATTATTATTATTGTTATTGTTATTGTTATTATTCTTGTATACTAATACCAAATACACTTTATTGTGTATTGCTTACATATAACAACTTGATTCAGTTTTTTCTTCTTTTTCGTCTACTACTCCCCATTTCCTTCTAGTTAAATACAATTTTACTTGCTGATTGTTTGATATTATTGCTTGCTGCCTCTCAATTGTTGTTGTTGTTGTTGGTGTTGAATTGGGGTGTGTTTTGTTTTGGAATTTTGTTTTTACAAATAATTACGATTGCAATTTGTTAATTTAAAGTCATATCATCAAAAAATTAGTTCAGTATTAAAAACAAATTGAACATAAATATGCTTTGCTTGCTACAGTTGTATGCATGTGGGGTGTGTGTGTGTGGGTGTGTGTGTGTGTGTGTGTGTGTGGGTGGGTGTGTGTATCTGTGATGAATGAATGAATGCTAGCGTTGCAAACAAATGATGATATTTTGTTGTTCTGGCCGGTCATCTGCTGCTTGTGGTTGCTATTCCTCCTTTAGTTGTTGTTGGTTGTTGTTGTTGCTGGTTCTGATTTAATTGCTGTTGCTGCTGGTTGCTGCTGGTTGTTGCTGGTTGGTGTTGTTGGTGCTGTTTAGTGTGGATTGAATGAGCTTAGCCGATTATCAGTCCACAGCCGAGTTTGAAGTTATTCTTTAAGTGATTCATGCGTCCACTCAGCGCAAAGGTGAAAGGCAGTGGCTGCAGGCGCTTCTCCAGAACACCCGAAATATGCCAATTTGAGTCTACGGAGCCTGTACACAAAAATAACAATCAATCAATCAATGAATCAATTCAAGTTCAAATCAAAAAAAAAAATTAAATAAATAAATAACCTTTGAACACTAAATCCGCCTTGGGCAAATCAATCTGGTAGGCAATGGTGGCAACGGATTCCTGCATGCGCAGACTCGTTTCCACCTCGACACCAATTTGCAGCTGTTCGCTGGCCTTCTGATAATAGCACAAATGCAATCCACTCGGTCCCACTGTGCCAGACCAAATCGAATCTCCTGTCGAGTAGCGTCCCAAGGCAGAGACAATCGCTATTTGGCGACCGGGCACATTGGGGCCGTACTGATAGGCCACCTCGGCGCCGAGAGCGATGCGCTGTGTTACCGATTGTAAATACTGGCCCACAATTACGCCGGAATTGGTGAATATGCTCGGATTGCCCAGTGTTATCGATGCGGTAAAATCATTGCCCCGATAATCTGTGCTCATCTGTGTGGCCAACATTTTCGAGTCCTGGATCTGCAATTGGTTGTTAAAAAATTGTCGGTTTGAAATGTATATACGCAGAGAGTGCAAATATAGCAAACATAAAACTAGAAAGAATTTACATATTCCATTGAATATAGCAAATATAAAAATAAATATAATTAAAAATACAATTAATTAATTAAATATAAAGAGAGATGCATTGCATAGAAATTGAGTTCAGCATATATACTTAGTGATGTGCATATCATATATAGTTGATGATGTTAATTTGACGATATATAAATATATATCGTTAAAGACTCACCTGGGAAGCAAATTTGCAGCGCAAACGTGAGGAGAACTGATGTATAACATTGGCATTCAGATTGCCGGATGGATCAATATCGCCGAGGAGCACGGGGAATGCCTCGGTGGGGCTGTATTGCTTGGTGCCCACATATGTGGCGCCAAACCGATAGCTACTTGGCACTGTGCTGCTCATATTGATCGTGTGCGATACCTGAAAATGATTGCTCAGTCCCTTGTTCAGCATTATCTTGGCGCCCTCAAAGGTTATGGCCTGAACATCTGCACACATAGGGATACAAATGAGAAAGGAGACAGACAGAGAGAGAGAGAGAGAGAGAGGAGACCCAATCGAACTCATTATAAATATATATATTGATATTGATATATATGTATATGTACATTACATATTTCACATTACTGATAATACATAATCAAAGGCAACTCACACACACACCCACATACACACACGCACATGCATACGCACGCACGCAGCACAACTGACACACATGTACATGCACACACACACAGAGAGAGTCGGAACCGACCGACCCCCTCACATGCTTGTAGGTTATGTCATCAGTTGTACTTTTGGGCTTTGCGCATGAATTGCTGAATGACATCGCATACCTTTGCATTTTTTGTGCAACTCCTCGACGGTGCCGGGATTGTCCAATGTGTTATCCTTAGCCGCATCGCTCAATTCGCTTGACATCGATGAGCTGCTGCCAGTGGCCTCTGTGGAATTTGCGCTTGGCTCCGGCATACCGAGGCTGGCAGCCACACTGTTGCTGCGAGCCGTTGTTGCCTCGACGCCGCTTGATGCCGCTAGCACGTTACCCATTCTGTATATTGTCAGTTAAGTTTATTGTGTAATTGTATTTTTTACTCGTGTGTCCGTCAAAATTTAAAGTGGCACGCGCTATCTCAGGTATCGGTGTTTTAGACACACTATACTATAAAAAAAAAAGTCTGTTTCTGACAGTAAAGTCGATGACAAATGGGTATCGATATCTCTAACCGTCATCGATATGATCAAATCAGTTGCCAGGCATCGCTTTCAATTGATTTTGAAGTGTTGACAACAATCAATCAGCAACTGTTTAACACTTCTTCACTTTACTTTAATGCAATTGTGGACACATTTCGCTTGAGCAGCTGCAAATCAAATGAGTACTCGATGCCCAGCAATAACAGCTGAGCTGCCACTGAATTGCAGCAGCCAGTGACAAGAGTGTTGCCACACTGTCACAGCCTTAAGCGCCAATTTTGAATAGTTATAGTTATAAAGCAAATCACCAGTCGCTATGCAATAAAAACGTTTATATTTCAAGTTCAAGTGTAAGTATCCTTTTTCATATATGTATATATAATATATATGTATATATAGACGTATTTCTTGTATAAGTTAATTAGAAGAGCACAAATCTCTGCTACGTATGTATAAAGCTGAACAACTTTTTTAAATCAGAGTAGAGTTTTGTGGGTGATGCTTGGCTTTTGTTAAAAGACAAAAATATTGTACTAAAAGATAAGAAATCAATAATAATAAACCACCCATAAGTCATCTAATTGACTGTAATTGGCCGAATAGTCATATTTAAATGTATTGGGTTACAAGTAGCTTAAAAGCCTAAATAAAAATAATCGTGCTTTATCATTTTGTTTTTCAATTTTTTGGTGCGCTATTAAAAACGAGTCAACAAAAAAAAAAAAGCTGTCATTAATGCACATTACATCATATCATATAGGGGTCAAAGATCAACATAAGAAAAAATAATAATGTACATATATAATATCGATATAAATGGTATATAAAAGGATTTTCGCTGTGGATTGACAAAATAAACCAAAACAAAAACAATGTGAAACAAATCAGCAGCATGATGACATCTCTGACTCGGCAACGACCAGATTGAAGTCGTGACTGTTGGGCCTCGCAAATCCGGACTTGATGCCATCCCAGCCATCCTCGGCCTTGTATTCACCAGATCGAATGCGGGCATAGATCTCTTGGGTGACCATGCGGAACGCCTCCTCCACGTTAGTGCCGGTGCGCGCCGAAGTCTCAACAAAAGGCACGCCATGCTGTTTGGCAAACTTTTGCGCTTCCTCCGTGGACACCTCGCGATGACCGCCCGCATTCACCAGATCCAGTTTGCAACCGACTAGCGCAAAGACGGGCCGGTGCGGCTCAATGTGACGCTGTGCCTCCATCATCCAGAGCGGTATATGCTCGAAGCTCGCATAATTCGATATATCGTAGACGAGCAGGACGCCAACCGAGTTACGATAATACGACTTCGTTATTGAACGGAAGCGCTCCTGGCCAGCTGTATCCCAGAGCTGCAGTTTAATGTGTTTGCCATCCTTCATCTCGATGAGTCGGGCGAAAAAGTCCACGCCCACTGTGGGATCTGCAAGCTGAACGAAACACAACGTATGAGAAGATTCTCAAAAACCAGGAAAGGACCTATATACCCGTTGTCAACTTAAGGTAAAGAGCATTTCTTATTTTTTAGCTATATCATTGAAAGCCCAAAAAGTGCGCGCATTTGTCCAATGTTGCCACATCTATCGCATTTTTAAATGTCATTGTTTTTTTTTATCGCTTGCATTATCAGTAACAGACCAGCAACCACACGCACACGCTTGCACACATAGGCAAATGAGGCCACTGGCTGCAAGATGCTCGCCTTTGTTTTTATATTAACTTTTTCTACTTTTTTGTTGCTTTTGCGACTTAATTATGTAATTATTATTACTGCTTGCACTTGACACACACACACACACACACAGAAAAATTGAACACATACCTCGGCAAATTTTCCATCTGTGAAGAATTGGAGCAGCGAACTTTTACCCACTGTGCTGTCGCCGATGAGTATTAAGCGAAATTGATAATCAAAAATAGGCTCAACCATCGTGCTGCACTGCTCTTGCCCCCTCGTTTACTGTTTACTGTTTACCAGTTTCGACGTTTAGCAGATGCAAAGCGAGCCACCCCCTCAGCGCCCACCTCACTCTTTCCTTCAATTGTTGTTATTTTCTTAATACGTAAATTCACTTCTCCTTTTCGTTAGAAACGCACGATGCACTTTAGTTCGTTTCAAATGTGGCCGATCGCTTGACAGTGTTATTTGCAATTTTACTAGTGTATAAATAAACTGCAACCTTTTCGTTTATTAAATTTAACTAACTCAGCTGCGCGGCTTTGTTTGTTTTTTTTTTCTAATGAACTGTAATTAATGTATATATATATGTGTGTGTGCGAGGGTTTGTTTCAGGGCTGGCAAACGAGTAGAATGCGCACGCAGGTACTTAAACACATAGTGGCAACATCGTTGTTGCAAATTTGAATTGGACATCGAATCGAGATTCTGCACAAAAATAAATAAACACTATCTGCATAGAAATTGAAATATTTGTTATGCCTAAGATGTGAGTACAGTTACATATTTGAATGCAAAATTATTCCTTCATTAACGTTTGCTCATATTATACTATTACATAATATATACATATATATATGACTTAAATACGCTAGAATGAACATGTTTTTTTTTTTTAAATATATATAATAAAAAGTATGTTTGAAAGGCATAATTATAGAAGAAAAAAAAGTGAAGAACAAAATTATTGGCATCGATAGCAATCGATAAATGGTTTTTGTTGTAACATCGCTAGCTGTCAAATTTGACATTAGTTCGTTTTAATTTCGGCTTTATTTTAATATTGTTTTCCTTTTTGCATTTGCACCAATGTACAATAACAGAAATACAGCAACAATTGCATTTTTACCAAAGCCAATCAACGGCACGCTAAAATTGACTGTTACTTTTAGCAGCAGCAGCAGCGGGCAACGTGAATACGCCTGGCAGCAACAACAACAACAACAAGAAAAAAGCCCAGAAAAAGCATAAGGTTATCGAATAGAAGGAACGTCCGCAAGAAATTTTATTGCTGCCGCTAAAAACAATCTGTGCCCAATACAAACACACACATAGATGTTAAAGTTTGTGCTGCACGACGCCATTGGCTACGTGCGCAACAATGTGCGTGAGTTCAGTCTCAATGCGATCCGCCTGCTGCCCCAACTGCCCCAGTTGAGTCCCTACGATGTGAGTATATCTGTGTATATCGATCTGCAATCGGATCGGGTGTGATAATATTTCATTTGGCTATCTGCAGGTGAATATTGCGCTGAGGGAGAACGAGTTTGTTTACAAATTCCCCGCGGAGGGCGTTATACACAGCTACGAAACAAATCAGCTCGGCTCCAATTCCCCCTGCGAGGACACACGGACCGAGGCGAGTTTGCTCTATCGGAACGGCTTCATGTGCGGCGTCTTCGATGGACATGCGGGCGCCGCATGCGGTCAGGTCGTCTCCAAACGACTCTTGCGTTACATTTCGGCGGGCACATTGCCGCGCCAGGTGCTCCGGGAACAGATGAAACAGGGCAATTGCAGCAGCCAGTCATTTCTCAAATGTCACAACGACAAGGTGGACTTTGTCAGCGAGATTCGGCCCATCTATGAGAAGAGCTTCCAGCGCTATGTGAACCAGCTGGTCGCCGAGCCGCAACGCGATGTAGCCAGCGAATTGGAGCATGCGTTCCTCCACCTGGACAATGATTTGGCCCAAGAGGCACTGACCACCAACGATGTGCGCACCATGGGCGTCGCTCTGTCCGGTAAGCATTGGAAATCTTCATTACACAAAATGAAACTCATTGTGTTTGTTGGCAGGCGCCGTTGCCTGTTTGGTGCATGTGGAGGGGCTGCAGTTGCATGTGGCCAGCACTGGTGATTGTGGCGCCGTATTGGGTATCTTGGATCCGCAAACGAATCAATGGCATCCCAAGAAATTGAACATCGAGCACAATGCGGAAAATATGCAGGAGGTCGATCGCATTCTCGACGAGCATCCGCGCGAGGAGCGTGAAACTGTTATACGCAATGGTCGCCTGCTCAGCCAGTTGATGCCGTTGCGTGCCTTTGGCGATTTCCGCTACAAATGGCCATTGGATACACTGCAACAGAAGGTGGTGCCGATGTTCGGGGAGCAGGTGCTGCCACCAAATTATTATACACCGCCGTACCTCACCGCCAAGCCCGATGTGCAGCAACACGAGCTGGGCGTCAACGATAAGTTTCTAGTCATTGCCAGCGATGGCCTCTGGGACTTCCTAACGCCCAGTGAGGTCGTCAGCCTTGTGGGCGAGCACATTAATTCGAAAAAAATATTGGAGCCAATGCGCTTGCCGCCCGGGGACGTTAAATTACAGCAAATCTCGGACCAGCTGGCGGAGCGCAAGTATGCCCAAAAAATGTATATATTCTGTGATTGCTCCAATAATTGCAACTGAGACAGGTCCCCAGCGTAGTTGTAAATTAGTTGCAACATATTCGAGCAATCACCACTAGTCATGGCTAACAGATATATTTATTTATTTTAGAGCTGGACTCACACGCAAACCCGTTGATCAGAATGCGGCGACGCATCTAATACGCCATGCGCTGGGCGCCACAGATTATGGCATTGAGCACTCGAAGATCTCGTATTATTTGACGCTGCCACAGGATGTGGTGCGTCTGTATCGGGACGATATCACCATTACCGTCATCTACTTCAATTCGAAGCATATTGCTCAGCTCAGGGGCGAAACGCATCGGGACCAAGCTGAGCCACAGCCAACTGCAGCGTGATTTCGCAGATTGGGAGTTGCTGTTGGAGCGTAATCAGTCAGTCCACTGAGTGGCCGGCCATCTAGCTATTGAGACTGCTGGACATGCAACGAAGCTAGATGTAAATGATGTGTATTTATTATTTGGCCAGCGTTAATCCTCAAATCTCAGTTGGTTTTTTTTCCGTTAAAGTTTTGTTTACAATTTGTACAATCTGCAATTGTTGTTGTTGTCGTTGTCGATGTTGTTGTCGTTGCTGTTGCTGTTATCGTCGTTATTGCTAATCTGCTATTCGCTATTCGCCAGGACGATAGCCAATCGCAGGCTAAATGCTAATAAAAATCCAAGATGATAACTCACAATTCTGACTTGTATCCATTTGTAACTTCTTCGTCTGTTTCCAAACAAAATCCATATTAGAGTGATATATATATGTATATATATATATATATATATATATATATATAGATCTGAAATGGGTAAGCGAATATCGAAATGTTGGATTTGTTTACAGTTGAAATTGTTGTTTCGAGAATTGATTAGTTTATTTTACAATAATATTCATTACACATGAAGTCCGTAAACGCTAAATGTTGATGTTTATGTTTAGGCTAACATACGTTACACATAAGGTTAGGCATACGGATATACAGATAGATATACAGGTATATATATATATATATATATATATATATATATATATATTATTGCTATGGATAAAGAGTAAAGCAAATCTAAAACTACAGATGAACACTATAAAAAAATAATAAAAAAAAGATAGAACTGACTGTGACGCAATGGCAAACAGCAAAAACTGGGCAGGGCAGGATGGAAGAAATGTGGGTGGGTGGTCTCTGGGCGGGTATTTCTACAAATCTACAAAATCCGAGAAAAATATCATCTACTATATGTATATGTATATATATATATACATATACATATATATATAATTGGTCGCTCGGTAATTGGAACTTTCAGCAAATAATGGTCTCTACAATCCGATATATATATATATATATATATTTAAAACTAAGTATATTACAAAACAGATATTTAATTTTATTGAAACTAGATTTGTGATATATTTGCAATTGAATTTTAAATTCGTATTCTTAAGAAACCGAAAATGCCTTAAGAAATTTGTCATCGAGATTGGGTAAAATGTGAATTATTTCATTTTCTGTGCCAGTACCAATTAGCGAGCAATCACTGTATACGCGTACATAATACATCCTTATACATATATGTATATAGATATATATATAAGTATATATGTGTGTGTGTGTGTGTTAAAATATCCCAGACAGAAAGAAAGTCCTCCAGTTGCAATTTCTCAATTGTTGTCACGAGTGAAATTGTGAGTGGGATGTGGGCTAACTAGGCTAACAATATGGTTGGCTAATCCTTGGCATCCTGTTCGGCCACCTCCTGTCGACTGACACAATTGAGGAATTCCATTTGGATGTGCGTGATCTGTGTCTTGCTAAAGTACTGAATTTTCTTCTTGAGAAAATCGAAGAATAAATCGAGCTCATCCCGCTTGATCAGCGCCTGCGCCATCTGCTGCTGTTCATCGTCCTTGATCAGCGTGCTGCTCGACGCAACGCTATTCGAAACGGCAACGCAGTTGATGTTCGAGTTGGTGCTGACGTTGCCAGCGGTTGTAGCTGCACTCAGCGGCGGCATCTGTAGCATATGATGGTGGCCGGTTTGTGTATTGAATGTGGGATTATTGCACATGGTTGTTGTTGCCGACGCCGACGACGACGACGATGCTGGCTGTGGCTGTGATGGATGTGTTGCATGTTGCATTGGATGTGTGGCAACCGCAGCGGCTGGCAACGTTGCAACGCTCACCGTTGCACCACTTATGGAGACGGCGGGCGTGCTGGAAATGGTGACACTGGTGCTCGTCGCCTCCGTCACATCGACAAGAGCGATTTGTTGTTGCTGCTGCTGCTGTTGTTGTTGTTGTTGTTGTTGCTGTGTGCTCGCTGCGCTTGCAACATCCACATGACAACGTGACGCTGCCGCTGCTGCACTGCTGGTTGTTGTTGTCGTCACAAGCGTGAGATTCTTGAGCTTGGCATCCGCATTGAGAGCGCTGTTGCTGCCCCCGGATAAAACGCTATTGCTAGACGTGGTTCCGCTCGTCACAGTTGCTGCGCTGGCATAATGATGCCCATGGACATGATGGTGGGCATGTCGCAGTGGCACTGTGGCGACTGTGGTACGTGTCTCCTGCACTGGCACTGCCACCGGCACCGTTACCGTTACCGGCTCTGGTTCGGTTTCCGGTTCAGGTTCGGGTTCCATATCCTCTATGCAAAACTCATCGGTATCGATGTAGTGAAAACCTTTTGTGTCGGCCACATCACTGCTGCCATCGACACCCATTTCACAGTGAGCGCCGCTTGCCTCCTCGTAGAGGCACACCTCTTCATAGTCCACTTCGGCAACGGTTGCCCCATCCTCGTCCAGCTCATGCTTAACAATATCGACAACATGACCATCATGATCGACTACATCATCCACATCGTCGTCCAGCTCATCGTCGTCGTGTGCTATCTGTGACAATTCAATGCTCGAAATGCTGCCATCGTGCTGCGTCTGATGGTGATGATGATGGTGATGATGGTGTTGCTGCTGCTGTTGCTGGTGGTGGTGTTGGTGGTGCTGCTGCTGCTGTTGTTGTTGTTGGTGATGGTGTGCAGCCTGATGATGATGATGATGATGATGATGTGGGGGCACCGTATCATCGGCAACGCTCTCCTCATAGGCGGTCAATATGAATGTTTCGGCCTCATCGCTGACCAGCGTTATTTGTGAGCTGGCATGATGTGAGGAGGACAATGCCGTTGTATCCGAATGCCCGTCATCGTCGACAACATCATGATCATGCTCCACATCGTGATCATCATGCTGCACATCATCGTCATCATCATCTTCATCATCATCATCAGCGGGCTGCTTCTTGATCTGCATAATAGCGGCGAGCGCATTGCGATGCGCCTTCAACTTAGGCTGATAAACCTTCGAGAGGAAATCCAGCTGCTTGGCATAGCGCCACTTGGACAAACGACCCTCGATGCATTTGGGCGAACGTCGCCGATACTGATGGTATGTATCCCGCAGATTCTTCCACTTGCGTCGCACCTCCTGCACGCTGTATTTATCTATCAAAAGATTCGATTGCGGATTAGTCATTTATGCAGATTTACAGTGATCCTCGCTCGAAAATTACAACTTATGTGTAAGAAATGGAAACAGTATCATATATATATTGAAGTACTCCGGTTGGTTACTTGGTATATAACGCTCCTTACTACTACTATATATATCAGATATCACATATAGCTACCATATAGCAACGATATATTTCAATGTGGACTTCGATCTGTAAGCGATCTGCAATCCTCTTTACGAATATATTATTTCTTGATTACATTTGAATTATTTATGTGTCCAGCACAGTGGAAAGATTTGTACAAATCCAATTTATATTTGAAAACCCGCTGTGAGAATTACTTTTTCGCTAATAAACTCAATTTGAGACAATTTTTAGAAATTGTGCATTGCTTGCAGAGAGCATTTTGTGAATTATTTGATGAGCTGAGATTGGCTTTAGCGAGAGAGATCACTGTAGTTGGATCGATGGATTTGATACTCACTGCCCATTCGCTGGGAGACGTCCTGCCAGCCGCTGAGTATATCGGGGCGTCGCCTTTGATTCGGCTGCAGCTTGTAGTTGTACAGTGCTGGATTCTGGCGCACCAGATTGATCAGCGTGATAATATCATCCGTGGGCGCATTGTCCTTGTGATAACGCTTACGCTCCGACATTGCGTATGTGTATGTGTGTGTGTGCGAGTGTGTGTGTGTTTGTGTGTGTAGCTTTTGTAATTGTTTCGCTTGTTGCTGCACGCAGCTTTACCCTTTTTATATGTATATAGAGGCAACTGGAGTGTTGAATTGTTTACACTTTTTACACTTGCGTTTATTGTTATTGTTATTATTATTATTAGAACTTGAGAGCAGCAGGAGCAGCAGCAGCAGCAGCAGTTGGTAGCAGTATCAGTGTCAATTTGTGAAATGGTTTGCCATCGAGTACGATTGCGATTGTACGCGCGTGTGTGTTTAGACCAGCCAAAATGCACACAATGTTCATTTAATGCACACACGCTTGCCTTACAACGCTTTGTAGCCAGGAATTTGCCATGTTCAATTACGCAGAAAACAATTTCGTCTCTTTTTTTTGTGGGCTACACCATAACGTTGCCGTACCGTGTTTGTGTATGCTACTCGCTGTGTTGCCAGATTGCATGCGGTAGTTTATGTGTCGCGTGCGTGTGTGTGTCATCGATGGTTTTACCGATAGCCCGAAATATTCGTAATATTCGATACCTTACAGTGTTGATTAAGACAATACTCAATTTGCGAACTGTTAGTTTTCATTTTAAATTACACAGTTTTCCGCTATAAATTTTAGTTACAAACGATAGTTTAATTATTTAATTAAAAACGAAACCCAATAAAACAAAATATACAACGACTTAAGTACTCGATATTGTTATCGATAATGTGTGTCTTATTGCTTTTGTGTCTATCGACAATTTGGAATTTTAGACCACAGACGCGAAAAAAGAGAAGAAAACGAAAACATACAATTGTTAAGTGAAAATGAGCGCCACTCCCACGAAAAACAATGGCACCGGCCTAGAAGATGTCAACATTCCGGGTCAAGCATTTCTGCGCGAAGCACTCACCTCCTGCACCGATCCGCTCAAAGCGATTGAGAGTTTTCAGGTTTGTTTACGTTCGTTTGCGTAGAAATGGGCGCGAATTTTGTGTGTGGTTGCTGTTGTTTTGTTGTATGAAATGCATTAAATAAATGCTAACATTTCAGTTGGAGAATGGGGTGCTGTTGCCGTCGCTGCGTCCGATGTTGCCGCTGTTGGATTTGCACGGCGTGCGTCGCTTGGACTTTCATACATCGCTGATGGAGGAGCTGCGCGACAAGCTAATTGCCCACATTAACGATCTGGGCCAGAAGGAGCCGCGTGAGCGCGACAAGAAGCTGAAGGAACTGCTCGTAAAGAGTTTTCCCGTTGTGCGCGTCAAATCGCTGCGACCCGTCGTTATGGCCATATTGCGCAACACCCAGCATATCGATGACAAATATCTGCGCATCCTGGTCAGAGATCGGGAACTGTATGCGGACACAGATACGGAGGTGAAGCGTCAGATTTGGCGCGACAATCAATCGCTGTTTGGAGACGAAGTGTCGCCACTCTTATCGCAATATATACGCGAAAAGGAGCACATTCTCTTCGATCACACCAATCTCAATAATTTGTTCTTCCAGCCGACGCCAAAGGTGCGGCGTCAGGGCGAGGTGGTGCAGAAGCTGGCCAATATGATTGGCACCAGTGTCAAGCTCTATGACATGGTGCTGCAGTTTTTGCGCACACTCTTCTTGCGCACCCGCAACGTCCACTATTGCACGCTGCGCGCGGAGCTGCTGATGGCGCTGCACGACTTGGAGGTGCAGGAGATTATCTCGATAGATCCGTGCCACAAGTTCACTTGGTGTCTGGACGCGTGCATTCGCGAAAAGAATGTGGATATTAAGCGGTCGCGTGAACTGCAGGGCTTTCTGGACAACATCAAGCGGGGACAGGAACAGGTATTGGGCGATCTCTCGATGACTCTATGCGATCCGTATGCCATAAATTTTCTGGCCAGCTCGGCCATCAAGATACTCCATCATCTGATCAACAATGAGGGTATGCCGCGTGATAATCAGGTTTTAATACTGCTGCTGCGCATGCTGGCACTCGGTCTGAGCGCCTGGGTCATGATTGACTCGCAGGACTTCAAGGAGCCCAAGCTCGATTGCCAGGTGGTCACCAAATTTTTGCCCGCCCTCATGTCGCTCATGGTGGATGATCAGTGTCGCGGCCTGCACGGCAAGTTGCCGCCCGATGAACGCGAATCGGCATTGACCACCATTGAGCACTCGGGTCCCGCTCCGGATGCTGTTGAGGCATATATACAGGAGAGCGCTGTCTCTAGCATACTGGCCATGTACTACACACTGCATTCGGCACGCACCAAGGATCGGGTCGGAGTGCTGCGCGTCTTGGCCATTCTGTCCGTCTGCAAAGATGATCGGGCCTATGAGGATCCGTTCCTGCACTCACTAATTGCTCTGCTCATACCGATGAGCGATGAGTTCGCCACGGAGGACTTTTGCACCACGCTCTTCGATGAGTTCATTTTCGCCGGACTAACCCGAGAAAATGTCACATCCAGGCATATGATGAAATTGCTGTGGTATGTGCACAATAAGCTGCCAGCCGGCCGCCTTGCCACACTGATGAAGGCCATGCAGCCAACGGCGGCGCACAATGAACACATCCACAAATTGTACGAGTTGCTGCAGGAGCGGATTGGCAGCGCATTGGTCGTTGCACCGCCAGAGACAGCGGCCATCGTTGAGCCGCCGGCAACCGCTGATTTTGAATCGCCATTGAAGAGTGTGCCCACACCGGGTCCCCATTACAGTCCCCAATAGCAGGAGGCAACGGCGGCAGCTGCTGCCACTGCCACTGCCACCACGACTGCTGCTGCAACAGTTGTCTTGGGTGGCTCCGTTGGCACCACACTCTAACTTTGCTACAACCAAGTTTAAAGTACACAGAAAATATGAGTTATGAATAATGAATAAATTAAGCTGTGTAAATAGATAACCCATTTTTTCTCTATTTAAAAATTGTGCATATCCAAAACTCTACGTGTCCAAATATATAATCATTAATTAATCTGTATATCGAATAAAAACAAAAAGAAAAATCAATTTTAAATGTATTAAATCAGACTCAAAGTATTCGAAATTAACATAACCATAAATCAAACCATATATATAATTTGAAATACAACTCAATGTTTATTCCAATCTTAAATCTAGTGAGTCCCAAGCAAATGTTGCAGACTCCAAAACTAAAAGACGTCCTACACTACATATAAGTATACTATACTACACTACGTCATACAATATTCAAGTGTCTAGTTTTCAAATAGCATTATTCGCAAATAACCAGCAACAAAGCAAATAAAGATCAACTTTAAGATATACATAGAAATACTATATTCTAGAGTTAAGTACGCTATATATATATAAATATATCCTGGTCTAAGAACTTGTGGGATGGTTCGGATGGGGCTGAGCTGAGGCCACCAGGTGGGTCGCGGGTTGCGGATAGCAAACGGCCTCCCCTCGGGGAGGTTAGCTGCGAATAATACGAGATTTCTCGTAAATAAGCAGTCCCGGACAAACAGCGGGTGCGATAATGTTGATCGTACCGACAAGGCGCTTATGTTGCCGCCTTCCAAAGTATAGCCTCACACATCCACCCCTATCTCCCAACATAATTACCCACCACATCCTATCCCTTCATCTCACTCCGGACCGGACTAAAGCGTCATTCGAACCGTGCCGAGAGTCAGCCTCGCTGGGGGCCCGGATCAAAAACTAGCCCAGTCTCTAACGGTGAGCTCAGGCAAATGGCGACCGCCTGTTCTAATTTAGCCTTACCCGGGTATTGCGGATCTCTGCCCGGGCGGACACATATTTCTCCGCAGCTCGTGGGATTCCATGAAAAAAGTACACTATGCCAAATACCGCAGGATCTCCCTGCGGAGCTTGTCGCAAGACAGTTGGAAGGTCATGCCCCTGATGGGGAACGACCGTCTTATATGGTAGACCATCCTCCACACCGTGCTACAATCGTGGAAGGGCGTGCCCCTTGAGTGCAAGGTGGGGGACGACATACCGCAGACTTAACTTTGGCACCCATGTGCAAAACACGATACCAAAGTGCTCCAGGGCGCTTTATACATGTTGTACTATTGCCGGCAAATCATGGGGTACATCACCAAAGATATTAAGATGGCTGTACCTGATGGTAGTAAGACCCATGTTAGCCTATGGGGTGGTTGCATGGGGTGACAGGGCGCGGATGATCACCGTGAAGAAACAACTACAAAAGTTGCAAAGAATGGCCTGCGTATGTATGACAGGAGCTATGCGCACCTGCCCAACAATGGCCCTTGAAGCCTTAATGGAGCTCACACCACTCCACCATATCATAAGGCTCAAGCAGAAAGCTACGCTTCTCAGGATATCAGCAGAAGGAGTTGGGGGCAATCATATCCTAAGCCACAAAGATGCCCAACTCCTTTCAAACGAACCCCTACTGACGCAACCTAGGGACGAAATGGCAGCCGAATACATATTCGAGCGAAATTTCACAGTTCGTATGAGTAGTAAAAGGGAATGGACAACTCTGGATGAAGTCCATCCCATGAAACCGCAAACCATAAAATGGTACACCGACGGATCACTCACGAACCAGGGCACAGGCCTTGGGATGGTGGGTCCTCGGGTATTCTACCATGAATCCCTGGGAACGCACACCAGCATATTTCAGGCTGAGGTGTGTGCGATAGGGAGATGTGCGGACATCAACATAGAACGTATCTATCGGAATACGGATATATCCATCCTATCCGATAGTCAAGCAGCATTGAAAGCTATAATGGGGACTAAGATAACATTGAAGGTAGTCCATGAAGTTCGTTCAAAGCTAGACCTGCTCGGGACTCACAACAGGCTCACCCTGCGATGGGTCCCGGGCCACAGGGACATAACGGGAAACGAGGCGGCTGACAAGCAAGCAAGAATGGGGGCAGGAAGGCCCCTAACAGGACCAGAACCGTATTGTGGCATAGGGAGGCACACTATACGACTGGAACTTAGAAACGAGGAGAGATAGAGGCGGCATCAGAGCTGGTCAGAGGCAGTAGGACTCCGACAAGCCAGATATCTCCTTGGTGGTTATAATCTTGTACGTTTTAAACAGATTATAACCATGGGAAAGAACAACCTTAGGAACAACCGGTCTATTGACAGGACACCTGACAAAATTGGGTATATATAGTAGCGATCTCTGCAGGTTTTGTGAAAGAGAGGAGGAATCCTCGATGCACATCCTGGCAGAATGTGTCGCTTTAATTAGAAGAAGAAGCAGTATCCTAGGGGCGCATGTTTTGAATTGCAAAGACATAGTAGACCTCAACCCAACAAAGATCCTCACGTTCGTAAGGGAGTTGGGGCTGATGTAAGAGCTATAGGCTCAGAAGGGGGGCACAATAGATCAAATAGGTCGCGGTGCAGCTTCCCCCCTAATAATAAAATATATATATATATATATATATATATATATATATATGTATATATTTAATATATGTATGTATATATATACGGATTAATATTAAATATTTAAAATACAATTTTATATTTTTTATAAGTGTCTACATAATCAATTTGAATAAAAGTCAAGCTGTCTATTTATATATATATATATATATATATATATATATATCAATTTATATATATATAAGTAAAATTTATTGTATATCAGGTTCAGGAAATTGTTGCAGGATCTTTGAAGTACCATTTTCAATAGCAGCAAATCAATTTTTCGAATTCTGCCTAAAATCACGATCCAAATGGACTCAAAAAGTAACTAAAATTTGCTATGCAGAAGCTTTTGAATATATAGAATTAATACAATTTGGATTGATTTGCAAACTGTTTCCGAAATATCGATTGATTCTTAAACAAAATAGAGTTAAATGACAATATCTTTTTGAAATAATCAATATAATTCGGAGCTAAACTCTCTCTCTCTCTCTTTCAGTTCTTGTCTGCTTCGGTATCAACGGAGGCGGGCTCTGGCGTCGCCGGTGGCGAGGAAGACGATGATTCTGTTTCACAGGTTTCCGGTTCGACGTTTGCACTTGGCGACGGAGACGGCGACGACGACGGCTGCGGTGGCGGCACCGGCGGCGGCGATGATGGTTCCGCCGTGAGGAGTGCATCAATGGCCGCCGCTGCGGCGGCAGCTGCTCGCGTACGGGGACAGGGCGCACTGGGTAACGGATAAGATACTAGCGATGATTGTGGTGGCGGTGTGGCCTTAACAAAGTTCTCCCCATCCAGATCATAAATATCCAAGTATTCGTTGTAAATATACTCCCATTCTGTGTGCGGTTCCAGCGTGTCCAAGACGCACTGCCTCAGCTCGAATTTGGATTTTGTCTGAATTGCAAAAGAAAATACAAATTGCGAATGAGTTGCAAAGGAAGTCGAAGCGCAGTTAAACCATAAACTGAGTTCTTTTTCGCTCGATCCTGATTTCCCAGACAACCAGACTGATTCGTCTATATCAGATTGGCCGAATATAGTGTTATCCTGGACTTTAAAACGATATTTAACAAATGCAAAACTTACTTTTCTGTTTCAACTTATAATTAACTTAAAAGAATGATTCTGGTTAAATAATTGCAAATATACATTCAAAAAGTTGATTTTAAAGCACTCGAACGCTTTTTGTTTGATTCATTATATATCTAATCAAATAATAAAGCATAAATAAATAAAGCTTTCAAAGCTCGTTAAATAATTGTTAAGCTACATTCAAAAAGTTGCTTTTATTCATCATATATTTAATCAAATAATAAAGCATAAATAAGGCGAGCTTTCAAAGCTCGTTAAATAATTATTAAACTACATTCAAAAAGTTGCTTTTAAAGCACTCGAATGCTTTTTGTTTGATACATTATATATCTAATCAAATAATAAAGCATAAATAAATAAAGCTTTCAAAGCTCGTTAAATAATTGTTAAGCTACATTCAAAAAGTTGCTTTTATTCATCATATATTTAATCAAATAATAAAGCATAAATAAGGCGAGCTTTCAAAGCTCGTTAAATAATTGTTAAACTACATTCAAAAAGTTGCTTTTAAAGCACTCGAATGCTTTTTGTTTGATACATTATATATCTAATCAAATAATAAGGCATAAATAAATAAAGCTTTCAAAGCTCGTTAAATAATTGTTAAGCTACATTCAAAAAGTTGCTTTTATTCATCATATATTTAATCAAATAATAAAGCATAAATAAGGCGAGCTTTCAAAGCTCATTAAATAATTATTAAGCTACATTCAAAAAGTTGCTTTTAAAGCATTCGAATGCTTTTTGTTTGATACATTAGATATCTAATCAAATAATAAAGCATAAATAGGGCGAGCTTTCAAAGCTCGTTAAATAATTGTTAAGCTACATTCAAAAAGTTGCTTTTAAAGCACTCGAACGCTTTTTGTTTGATTGGCGAGCTTTCGAGGTTGATTGGCGAGCATTTCACCCACCTGCATCGTTTCCGGCAGCTCATTGTCGAGCAGAGTGTCCATAAATAGACGCAAACGCTTCTCGGTGCCGTAGCTGGCCAATTGAAATGTCATCATCATATGCCAGTGCTTCAGTTCCTCAAAAGCTTCCAACGCTTCGCACAGCTTGATCTGATTCTCGAGGAACAGCACCTTGGCCGTTTGCTGCCAGCTTTCCGGATCGCTAAGATTAAATGATGTGATAAATTAGAGAGTCAGTTCGTTCTACGTTCGAGAGAGATTTCAAATTGATATTTATCGATATATGCGTTCCGCTAGGTTAAAAGGTTTGTCAACCTGTGAAGTCGACACACATAGGCCAAACTTGTAAGTCTGTTGTGAAACCGTGTTGAGATAATATAGATTTCGCAATCTTGGCCGGTCTTGTGTTTGATAGATAGATAGGCTAGGTAGGAAGTGGCTTCCCAAGGTGGCTTCCCAAGGTGGCTTCCTGGCAACTGCGGGGCAGAAACAGATGAAGTATTCCGCAGATACTACTCCTTCTTCTCTGCAGATGCTGCAGTAGTCATTATAAGGCACCTGGAGTCTATTGGCATGAATTCCAACTAGCTAGTGTCCTGTTATAGCATGGATTACGATCCGATTAAACAGCTCTCGAATGTGTTTCATATTGATATTGGGCCATGTTTGGTCTGCTTGACCTGTGTCTAGCTGTGTGTAGCTAAAGGCTAAAGACATGCCTTCCTTATCCGTGAGGAGTCATTAGCTTGGTGACCAGGCACCCATATTAGGCTAATACCATGCTGCTTGGCCATCTCGAGATAATGGATTTGATTACCGCTTGGCTAACAATATATACGTTGAAATTGCCTGGGTTGTTAAAGGCACCTTCGATATCTGGGAAAGCAATTAGGGTCTATAATTTTGACTACGGAATGAAGAGCTGTAGTGGTTGAGATAAACTTATAAAGGCGGATACTGATGGATCTTTAGCGTTGGTATGTGATGGTGAAATGCTAACAAAGAAATTAAATTAAACTTTGAGTCTAGCTGGAGTTTGGGTTCACAAAAACAGTGCCAGATGCCTAAAAGGTTTGATGCACGAGCTGTCTCACTCTTACACTCTTTCTCTCTCTCCCTCTCTCTCTCTGTCTCTGTCTGTCACTGTTCAAGTAAAAGGAGAACTGGTCAACTCACATTTCGACTGCGCCACGCAGACTGAGATAGTTATGTGTGCCTGTCTGCATGCTGAGCAGAGGAAACTTGCGATGCACATGCTCCAGATCGCGTGGCAGCGAGCCACGTATCCCATTGAACATGATCGCATCACCGGTGGCAAGGACCAGCCACGATTTCAATGGCGTTGAATACGAATAGGAATTGCCGCTGGGAAAACCAATTAGTGGCATGCCCTGATCCGTGATAACAAACTGCAGCGTCATGCCATGCTTATTGAGCAGCTCCAAACAATTGGTGGACAATCGGACACGCTGCTTGGCAATATTCCAAATCCGCAAAATTCCACTGTCCGTGAGCACGCCGACCATCTGATTATCGCTGCTGAAGGTGCAGTGCAGTGCAGCGCTTGTCAACGTGATCGCTGGAAAGACGGGTGAGCCCGTCTGCATCGCCAGGAGTCGCATGCTCCCATCGAGGGAGCAAAGCATCACATATTTACTGCACAGATTCACATTGATCACCGGCGAACCCACATACATATCCCAGAGCAGCTCTCGACTCAATTGGGCGGTCACCTTGGCCACCATGCCGTAGCCGGTCTTTAGATGGCCATTCTGCACATGAATGCGATAGTCCTGCGACGATTTCGTAAATTCACATTTACTATTCGCCGTTATCTGCAGTTTGGGACCCACAGTATTGCCGCTATTCAAATCGCACAGCAGCTGCATTGAGTTGCGACGTGGTGAGATCGCTGCCGTTGCCGCTGGCGATGGCGGCAACATCAGACGTCCAACAGACGGTTCCGCTCGAGAGTAGAGCGACTCTTGCGATCTCATTGGATCCACGCTGCTGCCACCAATTCCTGATGTTCCCGTGCCGCTGCTGTTGCTGTTTGTGACTATGTTGTTGCTGTTGCTATTATCGTTGCTGCTGCTACTGCAATATAAAATGATTTAACAGTCTAATCTTAATAATAAGCACATAACTAATGAGCATAACTTGTTAAGCAACATTTCTCATACGAGATCGTTCCTTTGATTTTTGGTCTGCCCGAATCACTGGATACCCACCTGCTTGTGGAAATGATGCTGCTGTTGCTGCCAATGCTGGAGATGGGCTCGTTTAGCTCATTGAGTGGTATAAACATGGGCGTAATCCGTCGCTTGCCATCCTTGGTGCGTGTCTCCGTCTGTTTGCTGATGGCCCGAGCATGTGAACCGACGCCCTGTCCCTGTCCACCGGTCACCTGGACAGGCAGTCGACGCTCCATGGCCGCATTGGGCAGAGCATAGCTGCTCGGTTCGGGCAGCGTCATCGCCATCTGTTTGCTGGCCGTATGCTCGGAATGCTCCATATAGCCGCCATATTTGCGCTTGAATATACTGTTTCGTTCCGTCTCCGAGACGCGGGAGCCCAGCTCCCGTTCGCTGAATTGGAGGCAGGCGATGGTGCCGTCACCGCTGCAGGCCATCAGCAGACATTGTTGCGGTCCCCAGGACATGTCCAGGACGCTGTCATTGAACAGCTCATGGATGACGACCATGGGACGCTGGAGCGCCGTCAGCCACACGGACAGCGAACGATCGCGGGAGCCTACAGCGATCACACAATATTGCATGGCCTTGCTGGGACTGTCGCCGACCATGTCGCGCGTCAATATCGAGTTGTGGAAACGGACACAGGTGACCGCCTTGCGATGCCCCACGAAATCCTTGTCACATTTCCAACCTTCACGCTCGATGATCTGGGCGGTGGGTCCGCCACCGTTCATCGCGTGTGCCGACACCAGATACTGGCCATCGGGTGACCAGGAGAGCCGTAGTATGTGCGTCGTACCGCCGCACTGTTCGAACGGTTCGGTTATTGTTGTGCCGCACGTCCAATCTGTTGTACGCCATATCTTAATACTGCGATCATCCGACTGGGAGGCAAGGAAACGTCCAACCGGATCCCATGCAACGCCCTTAACCAGACCCGTATGCCCCTTGAGCGTGTGCAGCAAATTCGGCAATGCCCGCGCATCCCACACGATAATCGTATTGTCTATGCTACAGCTGGCGAGGAAGTAATCATTGGGTGACCATGCGAGATCCAGGACATCACCATCGTGGCCGCGCAGTGTGTGTATGCATTTATACGATTCGGGATTCTGTTGCATGCCGCCGGTGCCAAAAACGCCGCTGGGTCCCTGTGCCTTCCGCCAGATCATAATTAGCTTATCATCCGAACCGGAGGCGAGTAGCTGGCCATTTTGCGACCAGCGCACACAATTCACGCATGCCAAGTGCTGATCCATTTGGCAGAGCATCTTTGGCACCGATGCATCCTGCTCATCCTTCTCGGACAGCACCGGCTTCAGATTCCAAATGACAATGCGACCGGAATCGGTGCCCTGCCCGCCAGTCGCGAATTTGGTGCAATCCTGATGCACATCCACCGAGAAGATTGGCTTATCTGTGTTACAATGGTTAGCATATAAATAATGAGACGAAATGGGATTTGGATATTACCATCATGGTGCACCCAACCGGGCTTCACGAGCTTCATTAATGCGGCTGTTATTTGTGCAAATCCGCGTACCAAATTACCGCCTTACCCTACTTGCCGGCTAATAGAGATCCAAGTTAGTGATGCACGGAACATCGACTTAACATCGATACATATTTGAAATTATTTCAAACAACCGCTGCTCGATTCATAAAATATAAATAATTATTAAAAAGAATGATAAAATAACTAATTAATTTTATAGATAGATTGAACATTTTATTATAAGCTTTTGAATAATTTGCTATTAGAGAAGATAGACTAATCGATGTTTTTCCTCCAAAATATCGAATATATATATTCTAGCGCACAACGCTGCCGATCAGTTAAGCGAATCAAAGCTATTGTATTATTCCAATCGATATTTATTACATATGCATATGTCAACAAGAACTGAACAATCGACAAATATAATATAAGAATGTCTGGCGTTGCCATGTCTATACGACAAGCAAACCCACACACAATCAACTTGAGCATATGCACTTAGCATACCATAATTTGGCATTAATCGAGTATGCTATCGATAGCAGACGTCATTCTGTGCAATTTTGCGGTATCCAAGAGAGCGGCGGTATTGTGCTCAACTAAGAAATCATTTAACAAGTGTAAAGTGCGTAAAATAAGTAAACGAACAACCGACAAAAGCAATTAAAACATTGACAACAGCAATTGTTGTCAAAAGTGGTGCGATCAAAAGGGTAAGAAATAATGCAAAAACAATGAGCGACGACAATGTATATGTATACATAGCTATGTGCAATTAAATAAATGTGTGCGTATCCGGGTGTTTTTTCTTGAGTTTTCTTCTATCCCTGCATATGGTTTGTTTTAAAAATAACAAGCCAAAAAAGAAAAAGATAATGCGAATGAGAAATGCAAGAAAACGAAGGTTAGACACAAGCGCACACAGATAGAACATACATATGCATGTGTGTGTTTGCGTGTGTGTGTGTGCGTGCGTCTGTTCCAAAAGCGTAGATAAAGTTGTTACCAATTTGTTGTTGACCTTCGCTTTGCTATTCAAATCGAATGAACTCTTTCAATGGCATTTGCGGCAAGTTAACCTCGTTCACAAGCCTAATTGTGCGGAAATATATATATATATAAAGAAATGTATGTACATGTGTATTTTTGAGTATGTAAGTAAAAGGCAAAAGAGCGGCTCAAAAACATAAAACGTAACTCAACTGCAATCATTTCATTTTCTTCTCTAATTAGTAGTGGGAACTGTTTGCGCGCGCTTTCTCTGCAAACAAACACACGCTCACACATATGTATAGTGGTTGCCGCTCGCACACACACATACTTCATGCATGCATACATATATACATGCATAAACAGAATTCAGTCTATTACTTAACAGGCAATATGTTAAAACGAGCAGACCGCTGCGGCTCTCTGTCGCGCGCGATGTGCCAAATTGAGTACACACAGGTGAGCGAGAGAGCGCACAACCTACTTCCATTTTTTGGTACGCTTAGCTCTTGTAGGCTGCGCTACTCTGCTCTGGACATAATAGCAAGGCAGAAAATAAAGAAACAGTTATTTAAGCCAAAATCATAGTAATTTATTTTTAAAGATATTTACTTTCTTTTTTAGTTGTTGCGTTGGTATTACGCTGGCACCTCATCTATCATTGAGTAAAGCCGACTGACTGTGTGTGTGTTTGTATTACCGTTATTAATTCAATATGCCGATTGTTGTTGCTGGCGCAAAAGCTCTGGCTGGCAGCAACCTGTTTCACGAATAGCTCTTTGTTGTTGTTGCCGTTTTCACATTCTTATGAGAATTCCAATAAGACGCCTGTCTTTCACTTTCGGTCAGACGCAATATGCGAATGTATGTGTGTGTGTGCGTGTATAGGAAAGTTAAAGTAAAAACAAGGTCAACATTAATTAGTATGTGTGAGCGTGACAGTAAACAAACATATTTGACACGCATATCTCTATTTATAAAATGCTCTCTTTACACCCGGCAACGCAGCCTCTCCCCCACTCTTTTTTACGCTTCACCCACACAAGCATAAGAGTACAGTTTTTAATTTGACCAATTCAATTTGATTGGTGTACAACAAGAGGAAGAGGAAGAACAAAACATACACAAGCACATACACGTAATAATGTGCACGCGTATGTGTGTATAAAAACAAGTGCAAATTAGAATTTTTGCATGAATTTGGATTTGCAATTACTGTTGCAGTTGTAGTAAGCCACGGCCACTTGCTGCACGGCTTTTTGCATCGTTGTAAACAGGAAAAATTCCGTTGTCGAGACGCAACAGCCAAAAACGAGAGTGGATATGACCTAGATTTATGACATTTTATAGGCGTTGTTTTGGCTTGGTTGCTTGTTTGCGTCGTCGTCACTGGTACGCCAAGGAAAATAAACAGTGTCTTTTTTCGCGTTCAGTTTTTCGGCTGCGTTTGGAATTGGACACTTTCGCCTGATCACGAAATCAGCAAATTTTTTGCAGTCTGGGTGACACAGTGTTGTAAAGCGCTTGTGCAGCCCAGCAGCTGGCGGCCACACGGCGTTGCCACTTCTAATAACATTGCCATATATCTATGTTTGTAAATCCGTCTGTGTGTGTGTTTGTGTTTGATGCTTCTTTTTGTTACGTCGTGTTTGTCACGTATTACATTTTTGCTGTGGCGACGCTGTTGATATCGGTGAAGCTGCTTGAGAGTGTGCTAAAAATATATATATACACACACACACATATATATATATATATATATATATATATAGTTATTTATATGCATTTCAGCTAATGCATGTTTTTATATGTATGCGATTGTTTTGAACTGCGCCTAAAATATCCATGCAAAATAAAAATCAGAACAACAACTAGCAGAGACGCTTATCAGCTTTTTTGCTGCTCGCACACGTTTTGCTTTTATCAGTCACTTGTGTTATTGTCGTCAGTTGCCACGACGCAAACAATAACAAACAACAGCAGACAGACTACAAAAATAAAGCGATGGAAATACATTAAATATTATTTCAAATGATTGCGTATTTTGTTCTGCGTGCAGTGTGGCAACGCCGTTTCCACCGACAGAAATGTTATGCAAATTGTTGCTCTCACTCGCTCGCTCGCATTGTATGTTAATATCAGATATACATATTGTTTTTTTTTCACAACCGGAATTTTTTCGCTGTTGCTTTTGGTGCGCGCGTTCATACACGTACACAAACACAGGCACAGGCGCATAGAGTGAAGTTTGGGTTTGCGCTCGCTCAGCTGCTGCCGTTTCTCACTGTTATGTTATCACTGCATTTGCTTTGTGCTACATATTCTCGACGCTGTTTCGTTCGGTTTCGTACATTTTGCGCTGCACTCGCATACATACATGCAGACACACGGACGGACGTACTGAGATACAGATACGCACACACACACAGCGAGACGAACGTGTACGAAAAGTGACGGATGAAAAGCGTCGTCGGCTTCGGCAGCAGTTTTCTGTTTTATATATTTTTTTGTCAGTTTGCCTTTGTGTTTCTTGCGTGCGGACGCGTTTCGTTAGTGAGCTCTGCTTTCCTTATTTCACTTACAGTTTGAATAAAATATTATATATTTAATCAAATCAAATCAATTTACTTAGTGACTGATGAAATAATCGGCGTAGGTAAATGCACATAAATAAATTCAAAATTGAGAATTTATTTTATACATCCAAATATGGCTAACAAATAAAAAAGAATCGTAATGTGATGAAAAACTGTGCAAGGATCAAAAATGCAATTTTTGATTTTTTTGTGTATTTATTTATGTATGCACATATCTATATATACATTAATTATTGCTTAATGTGTGTGTGTTTACTTGCGTTGTGCGCGCGTGGCGTGGGCAGCTGCAACAACAACAATAAACTAGTCGGCGGCGGCGTCCGGCACTAAATGAAAAATATCTAAAACACAAAAAAATATTGTAAACCTGTTTACGCAGTAGGCGCATTTTCACCAAAGCCTAACACCAATACACGCATGCATACAAACATACAAGAACAAGCACAAGCAATGGAGCAGCAGCTAGCAGAGAAGCTGGTCAAGTCTGCTTTTCGCTCTCACTCACTCGCAGGCTCAGCTCCTCCTCCGCACAACAATTGAACTAATTTTTAAACGTTTACCAACACGAAATAAGCCAACAACTAAAACGATCGCAATACGTTCATAGTATGTACACATATACATATGTGTGTTTGCGATACACACGCCGGTGCTGCATACATACACACTTATAACAAGTACACAAACAAATCGACGAAGCGATACGCACTTTCAACTTGAACGCAAACGTTCGTGTCCCCAAAAATAAAATCAAAAGCATATAAAAAAAAAAACAAAAAACAAGCGTCGCTCGCAATACATGCACAATATATAACACACACCTGGGAGCAAAGCGCGAGCAGCGCTGCCAGAAAGTCACGTCACTAGTGTTGGGGTGATTTTGTCCTTTGTTGTTGTTGGTGCTGATGCATTTTGATATTACTGAGAGTGCAGCGCGCCAATGCAATGTGTGTGTGTGTATATCTATATCTATATCTATATCTACATATATATATATATCTATATATATATATATATATGCATTGGCCTACGTGCATGTGTGTGTGCTTATGTGCGTATTTGCGCAACGCTATTTATTGTTTTGCTCATTACACAAAAGAAAAAGAAAACATATACAAATGCGTGTGTGTGTGCGCTTGCAAAATACATAGACAAATGCATATAGGCAGTCAGCTGCTTTCATGATTTTTTTGTCTGTACAAAACAACATTTAATTAGCATTACCATATATATACATTTACACATCTAAATATATATATATATACGTATGTTAATATATAAAACACACGGTTTGCTAACGTTGATAAGAGACGAAATGTTTTGAAAAGAGGCTTTTCTGTTTCCGTTTTTTTTCTGTATGTTTTGTTTTGTATCGTTGAAATCGCAAAAATAAAAGTACGGCAACACGACGACAATGCCCGACTGTTGTAAATGTGTGTGTATTTATTGTTGCCAGGTGTTGCGTTTTGTTTTCCTTCTCATTATATTGCATTGAAAGGGCAACGGTGTTTGTATTAATATCTTAAATGATTTGCAATTTGTATTTTATTTTCATTTTGTATGTACGCTAATAACAAATATGCATTTGTAGAAATAATTATGAAAAACGAGTGCAGCGTTGCCACTTGAACGATAGACACGACATTTAACAACACTGTCCATTCACATGCACACATTTGATATTTTTGCCGTTTCTTATTTGAAAAGCATTTTCTCTCTCTTTCTATTACCATTTTGCAGCAGCCAAACAAGACAAATGCAGCGCAAAACAGCGATCCGAAGAAGATGGATGATGCCAGAGATCAGTATAATAACAACAATAAGGGCTATGCACAAATAGCAATAAATGAACTAAAGAAACAACAAACACGCCAGTGAACAAAAAACAATAACTAAAAAACAACACACAGACAGACACACACAACTACACATCTGAAATAAACGCTCAAAAAACGTTGCCAAACACAAACAAAATTTTAATTAAAAATTATCCCATAAAAAAAACAGTTGAAAGTTGAGTTTTATCTCTCACGCACTCACTCTTGAGAAAATTCGTTGCATATAAAAAAGAAAACACCAACAACAAAAACGCCATGTTTAATTTCCATAAGCCACGCGTTTACCGCTCAGCGGACGGCTGCTGCATTTGCCGCGCCAAGTCGAGCAGCTCGCGTTTTACAGCCTCGCGCAAATACGAAAAGGAGTCGACGCTGTGCTTCAATTTACAGGAGCCGCGCAACGGTGAAATATGCAATGCGTGCGTCCTGCTCGTCAAACGCTACAAGCGACTGCCAGTTGGCAGCAAACGTCACTGGGGACATGTAAGTAGACAAAGTAAGAGCGAAAGCTCTTCTCAGCTGTTCCAAGCCACCAGAAATATTTTACTCACTTTCGTTTTTATTTTTCTTTCTTTTTGTAAATTGTATATAGGTGGTCGATGCACGCGCTGGACCCGGCACCAAATCGCTGGCCAAACAGAAAAAGCGCGACAGCGAAATTGAGGCCAAATCGGGTGGTGGCGGTGGCAGCGGCAGCGGCTCCTTTATACCCGAGAAATTTGCAAAAATATTCAAAAAGAATCGCAAGGGAAAAATAACGGCAGTTGCTGCGCCACCTACAGTCGACAGTGAGCAACAGCAGCAGCGCAGTAGCAGCAGCCACGAAAGCTCACCTCATCTAAGTGATTCCAACGAAAGCTACGACGACGAGCAGCAACAACAACAGCAGCAGCAGCAGACGGGCGTTTGCGCTGTTGTGACGCCATATCAGACGCGTAAGAGGACTGCTGCAGCTGCGCAGCTGGCATCAGCGTGCAAGAACAAGAATGGCAGTAGTAGTAGTAGTAGTGTTGCACAACGACGCTTGAAATTGACGGGCAGCAAGCGACGGCGCATGCTTGAACCACAAAAGCATCGACGCTCCATCGACAATGTACCGTTCTTTGAGGAGCACGATCTGCTGCGACTGCAAGTCTGCTGCGGCATCGTGTTCCAAAGCCTCAGCCTGGGCAGCGCCTGTTACATTATCGATCCCGAACTCTACAAGCCATGCGATAAGCATCGCAGACGCAGACTGCCCCAACAACAACAACAGCAGCAACAAGTGGAAATTGAGCCAAAGCTCAGTCAGACGAGCATTTGCACGACGCCGGCCCTGAAGAAGCATCATTTGTATTTTAAGCGACAATCCGAGTCATTTCCACGTGGCGAAATACATAGAATAAGTCCAATTCCATTGAATAAGACTGAGGCCATGCCCAACTCAATGCCAACAGCATCAACAATCACTGTACAACAACAGCAACAGCAGCAGCCGCAACAACAACGACATTCCACTGTTAACAGCAGCTTATCTGTTGTACTCAAGCCAACAACAACAGCAGCAGCAACAGCTGTTGTTGTGACATCATCAAGCTTGCATCCGAGCATTTTAACAACAGCTGTGGGTGCTGCCTCGCCCTCATCGCTCTCTTCATCCTCCAATTGCTCCACTTCCTCCTCTGTGGCCACCAAATTCAACGACAACTCCTCCGATTCGGGCTTTGATGAGCATGTGCTGGAGCGCAAATCCGTTAGTCCGCCAACGGTAAGTACAAACAGAGAAAGAGGGAGAGAGCGAGATAGTTGTAGAAAATGAAGTAGCTGCTATTGTCGTCTCTCTCTAAAGCATATGCTGCATTTGTCTGAAGCTTTTGCTTTCGTTCCAATGACACGAAAACTGTAATATATATATATTTTTTATATATTTATAGCAGGATGAACTGCCGCTGGAGAAAAAGCAGCCGCGTGCCACAGTCGGCGTGCAACGTTTAATACTGGCCAGCGGTCTGCCCATAAGCGGACAGGCGCAGAATTTGGTGTTGACGGGCAATGAGTTCACCGCGCGATTTGTGCATCGACAGCCGCCAGCAACAACGGCGCTGAAAATCAATGTGACAGCAGCAACAGTTGTCGGCTCAACAGCAACAGCAGCAACAACAACAACAGGATCTCAAAGTAATAGTGGAAATAAGATGCGTGCAATATTCAATAATGCGAACACAATCCAACATGAGAATGGAGTGACGACCATTTTGCCGGCCTCATCGCTGGCGGCAAGCAATCAGACAGCGGCAATGAATGCAATTGCTCCCAGCACTGTGACAATAACGCCAGCCAAAAAGTCAGCAGCGACAGCTGCAGCAGCAGCAACAGCAGCAGCCAATGCAACTGCAACACTTGTAAGCAATCCCAAGTTTATAGTCCTAAAGCCGGCAATTGCCAAATTTGGCAGCAACAATAATAATAATAATAATAATAACAACAACAACAACAACAACAATAATAATAATAATAACAACAACAATCAAGCACAAGCAGAAGTAAAAATTGCCTAAAATGGTAAAAATAAATAAAAAGTAATTAAAAGATGGCCATTATGTTGATAAGCATATTAATACAACATACAATACATCAACCGATAAATATATACAAACAAACACATACGTAACATTATGTTAGCCATGTTTAATGGCTGTTAATATCTTGTTGATTTACATACATATTGTAGCGATTAGCATAAAATACTATAAGTGATGAGAAAGTAAAAACACACACACAATAATTGTGTTAATTTTGTGTCTTGTATATATGGAATGTATAGATTTTAAGTACTACACAACATCAACAACAAAAACAAGAACTCGATTCATAAATTCTTAAATATTTTTTTTCTTCCTATATACATGCATTAGCTATTAAATCATTCTATTCTTTTTTTTAATTTTGTTCACATGCATTTTTTGTACAATTAATTTGTAAGGCAATACTCAGCAGCAGCAGCAATTTAAACACTTAAAATATTTAATTACGATTACAATTTACATTTACTCAACATATATATTTGTAGTTTATGTATATATACACACACACACACACACTCAAACACATGCAAAAACAAATACATTTTTTTAAATGGTTATTTTACATTTTACCAATTTGCTCTCGTACATTACAATTACAATTATAAGTTAACAATTTACATCGCTCGCTTAGTGAAAACTGCTTGTTCGGTTTTACTGTTTTACACATGTGTCCGTCGTAGGTGGTAGCCACTGTAGTGTAGTCCAAGTGCATTAGGCACAACACCCAACACCGATAAGCAATAAAACACATGCCACGCATGCCACACACATGCATCAAATTGTAGCCTTAGGATTGCGCCTAATTAAAAAAAACAAACAAGAAAACAAACATTTAATTTGTAAACAATGCCATTTGCAATGGTGTGTTAGCACGTACTATGACAAAAAAAGAAAACAAAAAAAAGTAAAGCGTGTGTTTTTTTAAAATAGAATTAAATAAAACGAAAATCGAAATAAAAACAATTTTTCTATTTACTTTACTTATCACACAAGAAACTACAAAGTCCCTCCTCTTGTCCCATCCCGATTAAATAATGTAAATCTGATTTTCAACAACAGTGCCAGTTTCCTAGGACTGACACTGGATAGGAAACTGGACTGGAACCTAAATACCCAATCACGGGTTAAGAAGGCAGCAGCCGCTTTATACACGTGCAGGAAATCCATTGGTCTGAAATGGGGGTCCCCAAATATCGTTCAATGGTTATATACTTCTATAGTCAGACCTATACTTTTGTATGGCGTTGCAGTATGCTGGCCCTGTTTAAAAAAGAAAACCACCCTTTCCAAACTAAACAAGGTTCAACGTATGGCTGAACTATGCATATCGGGGGCGTTTCGTACCACACCTAGTGAGGCACTTGACGCTATCCTGGACATCCCATGCCCCAACACTCACGGCCATAAGACTCAGAGAATCCCTTGCCTGGGCTACTCAGAGCACTGGCCATGCCTCAATCCTAGAAGGGAAACCGACCATTCCTTCGAAAACGGATTACTGCGTGCCAGTAACACAACGGGATACTCCCTTCAACACATACTTCCCTCAAAGGGAGGAATGGGTTTATGGCACCCCCGGTCCACCGGCGACCATAACCTTCTTTACAGACGGCTCCAAACTAGACTAGGGTCTACTCAGAGCAGCTCAATATACAGTTATCCTTCAGCCTTCCAACACACTGCAGTGTGTTTCAAGCTGAGGTACTGACTACAAAGGAAGCTATAGACTGCCTAGAAAGGCTCAAAGTTAGCCCTAGCAATATAAACATATATATTGATAGTCAGGCAGCGATCAAATCCATCAGCTCGATATCTTCAAATTCGATATCAGTAACAAGCTGTCGCAAATCTCTACACGAGATGGCAAAACAGCATGTTATTAGCCTAATATGGGTCCCTGGCCACCAGGACATTGAAGGCAACTGTAAAGCCGATGAGCTAGCTAGGAAAGGTACTATACTACCACTCCTCGCGGATAAGGAAGGTATAAGTATGCCTCTAGCTATCTGCAAGCTCAACATCAAAGAGGAGTACAGGCGCAGGTCATGCAGTAAATGGCAAAGTGCCACCTGTGCCCGCATAGCACACCAGACATGGCCTATTCTTAACTCCAAGCGCAGCAGAGAGCTGTGCAATCTAAGTCGGACCAACTGTTCTGCAGTGATCCGGGCTCTAACTGGGCACTGGCTGGTAGGCATTCATGCCACCAGACTCCAGGTGCCATACAATGACTTTTGCAGAAGCTGCAAAGATGAGGGAAATCCTGGGAAACCACTCCCTAACTGATTTATCGGAGCTCCGACACTTGAGACCGGCCAAGATAGCGAAATTCATAAACGCATCCGGCTGGTCAAATGTCTAAATGTTAGAAATGCTTTGGAGGCACGACTGTAGGAGGAAGTACCCCCTAGATTCCCTTTTTCGGCATCACAACGGGCCAAATATGGCCTAAGTGTGTCAGCCCATAGGGCTGACAGCCGACTTAACCTAACCTAACCTAACCTATCACACACTGATTGACTCTGAGTTGGGATTTGAGCTGGCTTAAAAGTTACCACGAGCTTTATCACTACTAAAAAGCACACATCAAAAAATAAGTATTCATTTTTAGAATGTAACTAAGAGAAATAAATATTAAAGCGAAATCATAAGATATAATTAACCGTTAAACATATGAAATGTTATCATAAAAATAATCGATACGAGCAATCGAATCGGAAATCGGTAACTGCCGAAACCCGGGATTGAACCGGGGACATTTAGATCTTCAGTCTAACGCTCTCCCAACTGAGCTATTTCGGCGCCTATTCCGAACCTGTCACAGATTATGAATCATTGAGTGCACTCAAATGTGAATGGATGTGAATGTCGCGAACTGAATTGCGGGTATTTAGTACAATGACGTAGATCAGACGAATAAAATTACTTTGATTGCTGAGCTGTGTCTCATTTTTGTACGGGAAGAAAGGAGGCGAGAAAGAGAGAGGGCGAGAGATGTGAAAGCCATCAAATTAATTAATATAATATTGTATTGGTATTTGTATTGTGTGAGTTTTAGTCATTAATTTACACTTCGTTCTGGGGCTATGACCATGAAAAATTGCCCCTGCTAATTGGCCAAGGAACATTATGCGAAGTCAGACAGGAAGACAGCGACACAATGTGGAGACAGTTGTACGAAAAGTTTCCAAGGTCGATGAATGGTACTATATTAATATATTGGTGACGATTCCTCATCATCCACTGATTGGCACGTAAAGGCAGCAGACTCGTCCTTGATGGTTCGAAATGTTTCTGGACCAGGCATGACAAGGAACCGAAATTGGAACTTATCGCAAAATACACACATACATTGTTGTATTGTCATGTGATTTATTGTTTTTTTTTTTTTTGGGTGGGGGGGGGGGGGTTACTCTTAAATTTCAGTTCATTCATTATGTAGAGTGTATAGAGCAGTGAGTACTTCTCATGCATACATATCTATCATATATGATTCATGCTATCAACTGCAGGTGTTTGAAGCGAGCAAATGCGTTTATAATTGCAATTGACTTTCGAAAGTTTTGACCCGTACTTATACACATACATATGTATATATATTAAAATGCAGTATTAATCAAAAGGTCAAACCACGATTAAATTACCATTGCAACCAATTAAATCGGTTCAGTTTTATTTAAAGTCTTCACTTTATCTACTGTCAACTCAGCTCACAATTGGAGGCAGATACAGAGAGAGAGAGAGAAGTTGAGAAAGAGAGTGAGAGAGAGTGAGTGAGCATATTTCCTATGGGTAGGTAGTAGAAATCAAGGTGCCAGCTGTGCACCAAGTTGCAAATCGCCTTGGAAATCGCTCAAGCAAAACTTACAACAAAGTGCAACAACAACAACAACAACAACAAACCACCCACGTTGCCCAGAACACCATACTCCAATTCCACAAACACTCCCCTCCCACTTTGAATGTTGCCCCTGCTAGAACAAAGCCATCGACTGTTGACGTCACGTAGCACAGCTTGTTCAAATGAATTAGCAACAAATAATGTTGTACAAGAAAAATAGATAAAAATTACCAACACCTGCGCCAAATCAAAAACAACAAAACAACAAAAACCAGAAACTCTCGCATATAGCCGAAGTGAAATACTCTGCTTTTGAGTTTAGTTATACCGAAGCTAATATTAATTAATAATTAATAGCCATCTCTAAAAGTTGATTGACTGTCACTTTTTATACGATTATTTATGATGTAGATTATGATGTTCTTCTAGATTGAACGAAGTCAAACAACTCCATTTCACATTGAGAGCAGAGAATATAAACCAGTTTCTTCAAACTTCAGACTTCAGACTTCAGGGTTCTGTGTGAGTCAGTGCAGCAATTTAAAGCACGCACAACACTCCTCTTCCAATTCCCCTCCCCCCAACTGTTACGCACTCCCAAGTCCCCTTACCCATTACCAAATGCAACCTGGCAACTGCAGCATCTGAAAAATCCCCCTTCAAAAAGAACTGAATAAAATACAAAAAATAAACAAAAACAACATTTGCAGGGCACCTCAAACTGGATTTTCGTGATGATAATGATAATGATAATGATGATGATGGCGATGATGACGATGCGCCCTTTAAGTGGGTAAATACCATTTGTGACAGACAGACAACGGACGGACACAACACACAAAAGGCGTGGCGCTTCTTCTGCCCCACAAACCGGGGAGTGGATGGTCCATCCGATTCTGTCAAAATAATAAATCGATGTCGTCTTTGCTCTGCCGAAACCCGGGATTGAACCGGGGACATTTAGATCTTCAGTCTAACGCTCTCCCAACTGAGCTATTTCGGCAACTGACACAAAAAACAAAATATATATATATAAATATATATATATATATACTTCAGCGATAAGAGCGAATAGAATAAAATATTTCATATTAAATATGCAAATATTGCAGATGTCTAAAATTGGAAAATAACTTTGTTATTTGGCTAAAGACATTAACAGGGTATTTAAGGATCGGCAATCCATGCTGAGCTGTGCCTTGGCTTGGCTTATTATTTTTAACGACTTCTGCGAAAGTCGAGCACAGAACCGAATGGGGGAGCTGTACAAATGCCGGGCGGAGCAGAGGCATAACGAGATCTTGAACTACGCGGAAATCTCAAAAAAAAAAAAAAAAAAAAAAGCTGAAAACCTCAGACAGAACAAGAATAGGCAGCCGATGCTGATGATGCTGATGATGATGCTGATGATGATGCTAATATGGATGATTCAGCCAGTATTGTTGATCAAAAGTAATCATTTGTTGGGGGAACTACGAGCTGGTGACGAAAATGTTGCGTGGTTTTCACACAATCTTTTGATATTCGAACTGGTTTTTTTTTTGTTTGTCCTCATGTGTCTGTTGTCTTGTTGTTGTTTTTTGGAGCGTGTGCTATGAGAAATGTTTAATAAAATGTTAAACAAAACTTGAGAAAGCAAAACACAATCATTAAATTGCAAATTATTGTTTACGAATTTGGCTTGAGATCTTGCTGTTGTTGGTGTTGTTTTTTTTTTTTGCTGTTAATAATTTGTTATTGATCCTAAAATTGGGGCGAAGATCCCCTGCAGAAGTTGATGACTTTGAATTGAGCGACCACCTGCGGATTTGTCACCAGCGCTGTACCCGTGCCCCGTGCGCCGTTGCCCCGTTGAGTTGGTTTGGGGGCACGGCACGGCGAATCCTTTGTTTGTGACTATTTTTGGTATTTTGCGTTTCATATCATTAAATTAATGGTTGTACAAGAACCAACAGGCGCACACACAAAGAGAGACAGAGAGAGAGAGAGAGAGTGGAGCTGAGCTCTCTCTCTCTTTCTCTTCTTCCCTCTCTCTCACTCTCTGTTCGCTGTGCGCTGCGCGCTGTTCGCTGTGTGTTCGTTTCAGCTTCGGCTTACAAATTTATTGTTGTTTTTTTTTTATATTATTTTTTATTTGTATTGTTAGCGGCGACGCGAACGCGAACGCCGACGGCGACGTCGAAGTCAACGTCGACGCTTGGGCTTGGGCGCGAGTTTCCTTTTTAAAATCGGTGCTAAACGAAGCCGCTGTTTAGTTCTGCTTGCAAATCGCAGCCAATTGGACGTGGCCAAGACAAGGCAACAGGCAGCAAGAAACAAGCACTCGTACTTTGAATATTTTTTTTTTTGCCGTTTTCGTCTTGTGTTTTTTTTACAAAAAAAAAAAATTAAAAAAAAAAAATTGTATTTGTTCTTGTCGTGTGAAGATCGCGACGTTATCGGCGCGCCAGTTGATTCGACATTGGCCAGCAATTGAAAAGCGCATTGAAACCATCTTCATATGAATAAATATCGCACTAAATAAGCGCAACGGGTTATTATTATTATTAATATTAATATTGTGCGTGTTCGTTCGTGTTGTTTTCAATATCAATTATCCAATTGAAAATCGTTATTATTGTTGCTGTTTGTTTTTTGTTCAATTCAAACCAATAATAATTTTTTTTGGGAAATCGCTTAGTGGTTGTGTGTCAGTGCCAACAACAACAACAACAACCGCAACAACGACGACGAAGTCGTAATTTCTGTGATCCAGCAATACAAAGCGTAAGATTTTGCATACAATATATACGATACTATATACTATATATATATATACAGCAACTTCCAATGAAGAAGATCAAAGATCGCCAAGTTAAAGCGTTAGCCAAGTACAAATAGGCAAGCAAATAAATTGAGGTTAGGTAAACTCACGACAAAAGCTCAATGGGTGAACCGTTAAAGCTTCTCGCTGATCAATTGTGATCTTTGACGAAGGGCTGCATATTTTTTAAGTTTCAAGTTCAACACATGAATAACATTTCTGTCAAAGCTAAGACGGGATTAACAGAGACATTTATGTAGAGTTTTTCTCTTTTCTTTTAATAACACAAATTTTAGTAACACAAATTTTAAATTTAAATCGAAGCCATAACTCAAACAAAGCAAAAGTTATTGCGATTGCAATAGCACAATGTATGAGTGATGAACTCACAGGTTACTTAATACAATTTGTTGTGTTTACTGTTCAATATTTAAACAAAACTAAAGTTAGAGTCAACAAAATTAGTACGAATAATCATAAATATCGCAAGCCATCAGTGGGAAGAGCACTCTGAACGGGTCTCCACCCAAAACAAATTGAATGTGGTTCACAAATTTCAAGTACTAATATGACAAGGGCCTTATCAGCGGATGCCGAGAAAGACAAGGTAAAAAAAAAATACCATCCGATAGACAAAGTCTCACACTTTGAGAAAAGCAAAGAAAAAAACAAAAAAAAACTAAAATAGATGCTTTGTAGTGAAAAGTAAGCATTTTTTTTTACATGCAATTGAGATTAAACGATGTCGTCAAAGATATAGATCTTAAAAATCTAAAAACCGGAAAGTGTTTTTTTTTTTTTTTTTTGCTAAATCAATCGAACTTTTCTTAGTGTTGTCACAAGTGTTAAACGGGTTGCGATTTGTCACAAGCCGTGTTATATAAATTCAGTGATGCAACATTTATCACGAAAACATGAGAGGCATTATTTTTAAACAGACACTAGTTGATATTTCAATTTGCATTTCGATAATTTAGAGAGCGAAATTGATTATCTCTTCCACACATGGGGCAACTGTGCAGGTGGGCGTTTTCTAGACTAGAAGATACTTGGATACTTGGCGGCGTAGAGCACCTGGTACGGAGCTGGGACACGTGGAGATTGTATTGGGATGGGATGCATTGCATAAGTGTGACTGATCCGAGTTTGATTAGCATTCGATTCATAATTCATAAATATAAAATAAATGTGAAATAGCTTATTGTATAAGCGCAATATTTGCTCAATTTTCTGGCTTTAAATTCATTGGTTTTTTGAATGGTTAATTTGAAATGAATCTAAACATGAATACCGACTTTCTAAATCACGATTCTGTATATGTTTGCATCTGATTTGTTTGACGGAATCGTTATTATGTAATGAAATTGAATTCTGAGCTCATTAAAACTAAAAAAAAAAGAAACAAGAAAATAATATATGTATATATATTAATCGATTAATTACCAGGAAAGCATTCACTCGACTTTTGTTTAGTTAACTAATTGAGTTGAGATTGAGTAGTTAAAATTGACAGCAAATTGCATTCCGGAAGGGTGAATAATGTGATTTAGATTTGACATTCAATGAAATTGCATATGTAATTTGATTAGGAATTGTGAACCTCTTACTTTTAGCGTACTTAAAGTGCAGCTCATTAGACCAACATTAGATGCCTAATGGATCATTATACTATAATGTCGAGTCGGACGCAGGTGTGCAAATCACAATCTACATTCAGTCACAATTATGAGAGTTTCGCAATTAGTGGCGTTTGGAGCTGATTGCATCTAGAAATATGCATCGAATTGCTAACTAACTTTATATAGTATCTATGACATTTATCGATAATTTATTGACTGCTCCAATCTATATTCTATACAGTCTATACAGTCTATGGGATCTGAACTCTAAACGCTTCAAGCAATTGTCTAATAATAAAATATAATTAATGTTTTATTTTGCATTTGTTTTTCTTTTTTGCTCATTAAAGTTGTTTGCCGTCTCACTCTGTCGCCCACTATCTCTCTCTCTCTATCACTAGTTTAATTAGGGTTGCTTAGAGGTACAACTGATACTCTCTAGGTTAGCCAGATGTATACATATACGCTGGAGTTGGCAAAAAAAAAAAAATTTGTATGCCGAAACCCGGGATTGAACCGGGGACCTTTAGATCTTCAGTCTAACGCTCTCCCAACTGAGCTATTTCGGCTTGAATAACGAATGAATCTACTCGAATCGAATCGAATTTCTATATACATCGACAAGTATTTTCGTCAGTGATAAGAACAAATGTTAAAAATAGCAGGTGATCCGGATTACCTGGCCTGGCTTTAACTAATCGAACTAAAAGCTTAATCCGCACTTCAAACTACACATTACTATCTGGGTTAGGATCGTGCGTGGAAAACTGCTTAGCTTTTCCATTGAGTAATGTTTATTATATATTTCAGTCGTACTCGCATCTTTCGCAGAGCATTTCATCTTCGTCATAATGTTTAATTATATAAGTTTGTCTTGTTTTGTTTTATTGTTTTGTTGTTTATTTTGTTCTTTTTTTGGGTTGCTTGTTTAATTTGCAATCATTGAAGATGCTCAGACGTCGTAATTGGCACGTAATTCGGGTTATACAGATTCATAAGATCGACTCGATCAAGTTGAGATAACGTTTGCCATGATTACCCGCATGACTGGCACATTTCGTCTCCATCTTCTTCTTATTATTAATATTATTATAATTATTATTATATTATTATCGCTGCTGTTTGCTGAGCCAGCTTTGCTTATTTCTCCCATGACAGGTGGCTGGGTTTTCTGATTCAGCTCAGAACTCAGATCTTAAATATTAATTTATGCAAATATTCAACACATTAACAATTTCACGCCCTATAAGTAAACTGTGCCCCAACCAAGCAGTTGACTGACTTGGCTAGAACTAAGAGAGAAAAACCCGTATGTGCTGTCATCATATTTAGCATATTAGGGTTGCCTCGTGTACACGATTCCCCATCGATCATTCACACCTGTTGGCAACAGCAGCGTTCTATCTGACGATCTGCAATCAACGGTTGACGATTCTCTAAGAGATATAAAATGAGAGAGAGAGAGAGAGAGAGAGAGAGAGAGAGAGTGGAAGAGTGTTAGTATGTTAATTTATTAACCGTTCCATATTCCAGCTTCGACAATATATATATATGTTACATAAGTGATCAAATACGGACTGGCTCGATCTTATATATGGGCTAGAATGTTACGACCGGTTCCATATAGAAATCTGCATACTGGTTAATCGATGCACTTTGCACAATATAAATATTGAGTAAAAGGGCAGAGTCTCCCTAGGAAGATGGCAAACATTCTAAGCACATGAAAAATCTACATCAACTTTCAATAATATTTGAACTACAACTTTGCATTGCATTGCAATTTAAATTTAGTGTGAGCCACTTAAATATAAATAAATATTTTTGACTGGTTTTGACTAATTCTGGTATCTGATGCTATTAAGTAATTATTAATTAGAATTCAAATACCAGCCTAACTCTAACACTTTTTTGGCTTTTGTCCATTTCCATTTTAGTTATCTGGCTAAGGGTCTTCTAAATAATATAGGTAAATACATATGCATATGGCCGGGGATTTATCGAGATAAATGTAAAGAAAATTCAAATATTATGGCCATGCCAGAATAGGGCTAAAAGCACTTGATAGATTAATGGCTCAGGTGTAGGTTAAACTTATTGCAAGCCAGCATGACTTGTATGTTTTTGTTTGTTTGCTGCTGTTGCCTTTTTCCGGTATTTGGGATAGTCAGTCAGTCAATCAGTCAATCAGTCACTCAGTCAGTCAGTCAGTCTGTTAGCTGATGTTACTGACCACATACAACAAACTGTGATCATGTCCAGATCAGATTGAGATCAGAGTCAAGACCACCTGACGCTGGCCACAGATGTATTACTGGTTCTGGTTCTGGTTCTGGTTCGAACTGAAGGCGTAACTGTGATTTACATAATTCTGCAGTTGAGATATATATTTCTTATATATAGTTGTTGCTCATGGCGAGAGTCTAATTAGACATTGGACTTGGTCACTTGTTAAGTGACTGTTAATTACTCTATTTATACATATATGTATGTATATATATATATGTGTGTGTGTGTATGTGTGTGTGTGTGTGTGTGTGTCGCCATTGTGGGACACCTGCTCATCGTTTTGGTCTGTTGCATTCCGTTTAATAAAGATTTATGCGCAGCTGATCAAGACTAACTAGCGCCATCTGGTGTTAAGAGCAGTATATATATATATATATGTATACATATATATTCAATTGAAATTCATAATTGCAATTGTGATTCTTGTTTTCTTTATCGCCTTGCTTTGCATTTTGCATTTGCATTTGATTTTTTTAACGGTGTCGCATTGCCAACTTTGAACACGCCCCAAACACTAGCAAACAACAAACAGCTCCGCAGTTCTGCACCCCCACACCCCCCCCCCTCCTATCTCCGCACACCATCCCCACCACCCCTCAAAACAATGGCTAAGTAGCCAAAGCAGCCGCCGGTTAACCTTGACTGCGGTTTACAATAAGCGCCGCGTTTTGTCAGCCACTTTTCGATTGGAGAGAGGAGGGGATGGGGAGACTGTTGACTATTGGCTGTTGGCTGTTGGCTGTTGAGTGTCGGCAATCAATGTTAAACCGCATTTTTAGCCAAGTTAGTTAATATATAAATGTAAAGTACCATATTAATAGGCACAGCTAATCGACATGCTCGAGTGACACTCTTAGTCGGCTCCGATCTCTATGCATATTGCGCCAATCTTAATACTTAAGTAGCCAAATTATCATCGCTGCGTTACTCAGCTGAAATTCGTAAGAATCGCATATACATAGAATTACTATAGTTAAGTTTGGCACAGTTAATTGACAGATCGAACAAAAATCAAAACTACTCAATGCAAAGCATAGATCGATTATGAAAATTGATTGAGTTGAGTGGAAATATTTACAAATTTAAATTAAATATTTTATAATTTGTGAGTATTTCTGACAATTTGTAGTCAATTGCTTTATGGGTGTTTTTCAGCTAGCTTTTAGCAATGAGTATTCATTTTATTTGAAACTATTTCAAACTGGGCCAGAGCCTTTTTCACCTGTGCACTTGGCCCAATCTTGTCACGAGCATAAACAAATACATATATGCATATATATATATATATATATAAATACATATACTAGTCAAATGTAATTGTGTGCCCATGAATTGGCATTAACTTATTGCTTTATTGTTGCATGTGGCATGTGGCATTGCGTGTGTGTTGTTATGCTTGTTGCAGCTTACAAGCGATTGCTACCTGTGGGCGGCAGTCATAGAGAATGTCGACCGGGGATAGTTGACCGTCGGATACACTCAGAGAAAAAACTTGCAGCTACACATGCGTTTACTAAAGTTAAAACTAAAAAAACTACTGCTTTAGCAAAGTAATTGGGATGGATTCCATATTGTCCAAATTGCTTTAGTCCTTTTGTTAGCAAGTGTTTCTTGCCTTCCATCAAAAACTTCACTTTAAATATAATTTTGAGCCATTTAATCACTCAATGATTGCTCCAAAATAGAACATTTTTTACCCAACAGCCAATTTTGCTTCTTTTTTTTTTGTTTTTTTTTTTTGTCTCTGGTGTTTGAAAAATTACGATGCTATTCGTTCAGTTTGTGGTCAATAATAAGGAGTTCTACTATGCATGGCGTGTGCTGCAAAATAATAAAAACAAAAACCGTGAATAAAAACGGCACAAAAAGTGCAAATTATAACAAATATGGCATTATTAAATGCAAATTTAACGACGACGATGACGACGACGCGCATTGAGTACAAGTTAATTGTAATTGTTGTTCGCTCGCTCGTTCGTCTCATCAAATGAACAGTGAATTCAATAAGCGATTTCAGTTGGAATAATCATTTCAGCATTTAACGCTTCAATGCATTTCGAAAGCAAATCTCCAGTCAATTCCTCACCCGGCTCCCAACCACCTTTGACATGCACAGCTCCACACGTTCTATGCGGATGACCTTGGCAAAGAAAGTGGCACGCCTTACAAATGACACCAGCCGACAACTTTCGTAACCTGAGTCTGACCGTGTATATAGATACGCAGATACAGATCAGATCCATTTACATTAGAATTCGTCCAACATTTGCAATCAAGGCCCAAAAATAAACATGTTCGAATGCTGTAGTCGAGAGTGCTCGACTAGAACTTACATACCTTTGTGTTGGTGAACAAAATCAAAAAAAAAAAGAAGAAGATATATGTATATACTTGATCTGTCTATCGCAGACGAGAACCAACATTCGAAATTTAAAGACTCTGGTTCCAATAGTCAATGCATATAGAGATAGACAGACGCACCTGGGTTAAACGACTCACCGATCAACAACATGTATATATAAAACTATAATACCCTCCGCGTAGATATAACTGACGATGTCAACGATCGTGTCGATTGCAATATTTCAGTGAATATGAATATACTTGCATAAATATATTTAGTCCTACAGACAGCAAAGATGACAACTATGATTTGATTATAAACAGTACGATTTTTCTATATATGTATATGCAAATATAAGAACTTCTCTCAGGTTTGTTTAGCAAATAGATGGCGAAAGATTTCGAGAGCGTATCACAACGTCGACTTGGTGATTGAGTCAACTTGTTAATCATGTGATTTGAGGCGACAGCTTAATTCAAGTTGAAAGAGGTTTGCGTATTCATCAGTTCATGATGCGAATAGTTTTATAATTTCCAGTTGTGTCTTAACGATCATGCTGACCTATCAAACTGGACATAATCGTTATGGAAACAAATAGTGCGACGACTGAAACCGGCAGGATTATACACAAATGGTCGATGAGCATGAAAAGTGAAACACGTGCAATGCGCTGCTGGTGTTAGTGTTTTGTTAGGCATTTCGATTTAATGAATTTCAATGTGAAACATTTAACAATTTGGTAGCTAAGACAACGGCAAACAGCCCAGACAAGTTGTCAAGCGTTGCTTTAATAAGCTGGTCAAACGTTCTTTCGAACGTTCCATTTGCCACATGGTTCCACAACTGCCAGCATCCGCATTCTTTTGGCGCTTTTGTTGATTTTGCGTATGGCTTTTGGCCGCATATCCGATAGATACAAAGCATAATGGATTTATTATTATTATTGCTATAATAATCATGGAGCTACTCCAAACTATGGCTCAGCAATTGTAGCCTTGGGATGGGTCATACTTCTGTTCTGTTCTGTTCCCTTTGCGACCTTGGCAACTGTCAATCAGCGGCAGCTAAATGTAAAAGATACTTCTTATGCATAGATACAGATAGACACATGTCTATCTCGCAACAAAAAGGCAGCCAACCAAACATGGCAAGTAAATTAGCCAGAAACTTGATTGATTAGAGGAAACAAAAAATCCAACAAACAAACAAAAAAGCAAAAAAGAAGATAAACAATTGCCAAAAATCAAAAATAATCAATTCTTTTTACGCTTTTCGCCTACAACTTGACATTTGTTGTGCGCTCTGTGTGTGTGTGTATGTATGTGTGTGTGTGTGTGTGTGTGTGGCATTTAAGCCAAAATTGATTTACACGGCTTTATATGCAAATAGTTCGTTCAATTAACAGACTTTGTTTTGGCATTGAACTTCAAAAAATGCACGCAAATTATATTTCTTGCAAAGAAACGAACTCAATCAAGGACAACAGTCAAATTCATTTAGCCAACTACAGCCAAATAACAGTCTCTTTAATCCCACCTTGTATATACATACATACCAGCTAGGGCCAATTGATATAATAGCATATAGACATTTATTTCAAATTTACCTTTGATTTTCAGTTATGGTCAAAAATCATTTAAAATTGTGCGTAAAATGACCTTAGATGCGTTATTTGCAGGGTATCTGCTTAGCCGGGCAATCGATTACTTTCATTTATTTATTTATTTTTTTTTGCTTCCGTTTTGCGCACAATGCGATTCATAAATCATTAGAAACGACTCCGCCCGATTAATGCCTTGAAGTGACGACCATCATTGGATTGGAGCCGACGCCTTTCACAAATCTAATAAACAGTGGAACAGTCTGATCTGAACTTTAGTTAACTACAGCACAGTGTAACCCATGTCAAATGATCTTCGTAATCAAAAAGAACCCATCCAATAAATGTACTTTATTGCTATACAGCAAAAAAAAAACCTCAGTTGAAAAATATGTTTATAATTTAATGATTATATGACAAATAATACACAGCCTGTGCTTGGATAAGCTCATCTAAGCTCATCGAGAATATCTTTTGTAATCTTTAGAGTTGAATAAAAAAGCTTAGCTTAAAGCTTTCAATGCCTTAGCAAATATACCTTACTACAAAAGAGTAATGTGATTAGGGTATCTGAGTAACGTTAACAGGAAACACCTTCACTTTCACTTCGCTCAAGAATCATTGCGTATGGAAATTCAAGTCACGATCGACAGAGCTTTGGATCAGTTAATTGTTTAGCATTGTGCAATTGTCGCAAATGACAAGGCTCATTAATAAGCCGCCGTTCTATGGTTTATTTATCACCGGCATCAAGTCGCAACTCTTTAATTATAATTATGTGCAATTCTCCACACTTGTCCACAGTTGTCTCTCTGTCTATGCCTGATTACAAATGGGAATTCAAAACGTGTATCTCTCACTCACTCCCTGCGCCACAGATAAGCAATTTAATTTACTCCTCTTGTCACTCACTCACTCCATTGATATGCACAATGGAGCTAGGGAGGTGGGCAGAGATATAAGATCACAAATATTTGCAAAGAGTCAAGAATTTACATATTTGTCTTTCATCTTTTCGAACAGCTGCAACTGTTGTTACTGCTATTATCACTTTATTGACATATGTTTATGCGCCTTGGGGCAATAATTACTGGAGGCGGGAGTCTCCTCCTCCCATAGTCCGCAGTTGATGAACACAAACTCAAATTAGCCACAAGATTGAGCTGCCATCTTATCCAAAAGTATGGAGAGTTTATGTGTTCTTATGGAAAGAATGCGACAACAAAATCTCTACATTTTAGAGAGTCCATAACATTATTAATAATTTGAATTTAGAATTGTTTATAAGTCGAGCTGAAGTCTAAATGCGAAGTGTTTATATTTCTTAAAATTACAGCCAACAGTGTTCACTTATTAACTATCCGCTGAGGATCAATCTAGCTCTGGCAAGGATTGTCCTACAATTTGTCTATTTTAGTACTTATTTACACATAGCTAATATTTATTTGAGTGGTCGCTGCTGCTGTTAAATATCATTAACATTCTTGAACAATTCACTTATTCTCTCAATTTGCAATTGATCTTTGCAGCAGTTGAAACAGACACAGACGCAGACGCATTATGATACCGATATTGGAGAAACTGAGCGGATTCTATAGCAGCTATGTGCTGGCCATCCTCATCATTGGCTACATCCTAGGCGAGCTAGGGCACTATCTGATTGGCGTTACCTCCAAGCAGACGGCCATTGAGCTGGACTATGGTGATCATGCCTGCCAGCAGAACAGCAGCCAGTTCACGCGACACGAACTGGTCACCCAGTGTTCGGATGTGAAGAACGAGAGCAGCTGCTATGCGCTCGAGCTGAATAGCACTGGTTACTGTGAGTGGAACTACAATGGACTGGGCATCGATTATCAGATATTGGCCGGACCCACATTCATATTGGTGTTTACCATAGCTGGCGTCTTTATGGGCTTCGCTGCGGACAAATACAATCGCGTTAAGATGTTAACCGTTTGTACGATTATATTTGGCATTGCGATCCTGCTGCAGGGCACCGTCAAATCGTATTGGCATTTGGTTGTGCTGCGCATGGTGATGGCTGCTGGTGAATCGGGCTGCAATCCGCTAGCTACTGGCATTATGTCCGACATTTTTCCGGAGAACAAGCGTGCCCTAGTCATGGCCATCTTCAACTGGGGCATCTATGGTGGCTATGGAATTGCCTTTCCCGTCGGTCGCTATATCACCAAGCTCAACTTTTTCGATATGGGCTGGCGTGTTTGCTATTTGGGTGCGGGTGTGCTGACCATCATCATAGCCGGTCTAACTGGCACCACACTGCGGGAGCCGGAGCGCAAATCGATTGGCGAAGGTGATCGGACAACGGCCAGTGGTAAACCGGTCACATTATGGCAGGTTATCAAGAGCCCGGCGATGATAATGCTCATGATTGCCGCCTCGATACGTCACAGCGGCGGTATGACCTTCGCCTACAATGCGGATCTCTACTATAATACGTATTTCCCGGACGTGGATCTCGGCTGGTGGCTCTTTGCCGTCACCATTGGCATTGGTAGCGTTGGTGTTGTCGTTGGCGGCGTTGTCTCCGACAAGATTGTCGCCAAGATGGGCATTCGTTCGCGTGCATTTGTGTTGGCCATTAGCCAATTGATTGCCACTTTGCCAGCATTTGGCTCTGTCTATTTTGATCCGTTGTGGGCCATGATTACGCTCGGACTGAGCTACTTCTTTGCCGAAATGTGGTTCGGTATTGTGTTTGCCATTGTCGTTGAGATTGTGCCGTTGCGTGTCCGCTCCTCAACCATTGGCGTCTTCCTCTTTGTCATGAACAACATTGGCGGCAATCTGCCCATTCTCGTGGATCCTGTAGCCAAAGTCATCGGATATCGCGGCTCTATCATGATCTTCTATGCGGGCTTTTATGGCATCAGTAAGTATCAGAAATTTGCCGTCATCATCTTCATCCCAACCTTCATCCTTCATCCTTCATCAATATCATCCCAACCAATGAAGGCGGATAGAAACGTCAAGGGTTCAATTGGTGGAAAAAACGAAAGGAAACACAAACAGAGGAAAAGAGAACAGTTGTGTGGGAACACCAGAAATAAAGTGGGAACACCATTTGACACACACCATAAAATGGAAATGCAAATTGTCTGTTTCTCTCATCTCTTTTCATCACTATTCCAATTGCGTAGTGAAACACGTTTGCCCAAATTTTGATCGGTTATTGGACTCGATGAAACCAGCTGTACAATATGTTGGGATTAGTTAGTTAGAGCACTCACACTCATACTTTAAGGAAGAACCAGCATTCCAGTTTCATATCGAATTGCACGTGTATTTAATGCGAGCGATATTTTGTAACGTTTCCGTTCTTTCCTCCATAGGCTCCATACTGTTCCTTATCACCTGTTTCATGCTAGAGGGCAAGCCCAAGCCGAATGAATCGGAGCAGGAGGCACAGAAGACACATCCGGATGCAGTTTTAAGTGCACGCCACATGCACGGACATGACAACTCCGTTTTCAGTGTGGACGAGACACTGCCGTCGAATGGTCGTCCCGCCCAGTTGCCGCAACACCTTCAGATGTCCAGCAACGGATACGAGAAGTCACAATCCACTCAGCCACGTCACAATGGCGCCGAGAGCAGCAGACTGTAGTATTAGGACTAGGACAAAAACCCAAACGTCGACAAAATCTAAACAGATTTTTTAAAACTAAAATATGTGAATGTGCTTCTGATTTATTATTTCTTATTATACATACATGTGTATATCTATATATATTTATGTATATATATATATAAATATATATTGTATTTTTTTGTTTTGTAATATAATTGATTTAATTATTTTTGTAAAAATTACTTAGTGTTAAGCGAGATCAAGTAGCGTTAAGCACAGTGCAAGACACTGTCTTTACCTACCATGCCTTACCTTACCAATATTCCCATACGCCTTGCGTCTCTAATCTCTAATCATACACTATTTCATTTGTAGTTTATTCGATAAGCAATATCCATCTGTGTGTAAATTGAAATCATTAATAAAAACTGTTTTGTTACTTCTAAAGAAAATCGAAAGAAAAAAAAGACAAAGACTCACACATACACATACGCATACACCGTCACATCTTTATGTACGTATGTATGTGTGTATGTATGAACTTACTCCAAGCTTCATTACGTGGCCAGCTTTTGATAGCTCAGCACAGATCATCTTCCAGCATATACTATGCTACACAACTGTATCAGCATTGCAATACATACATACACTTTGTGTATACATTTGTACACACATACATATTTACAAATAAAAGCGTGAAGAGCTACAGTCAGCCCAAACGCCTGGCGTCGACTGGTGGTGCGATGTGACCGTACGAATGGTAAGAAACAGAAGGAGCAAAAACAGCAATAATCGTGAGAATTGAGGCGAATTCGTAGCAGTGCGGCGAACTGTGTCGTTTTCTTGTGCCACTAGAGGCATGTGCAGGCGACCAGCAGAGGTTACACAAAGCCGGCGTTGCCACACTTCGCAACGCGATCTGCACAATACGTTGGAGGTTTTTTATTATATATTTTGCAATATTAAATAAACAAATTGCTTTAACGATCAAATAAAAAAGCAGTACCTATATGTATGTAGGAAATTTTGAGCCCACTTACACGTACATTTTAATATTCTTGCTCTGACGTCACACGCTTTTTCGGGGTAAGTGACCTCTCAGTTTTCTAGAAACATGCCAGAAACAGCAAAACGTCACTTATTTGGAGATTGTGTCATTTCAACTCAGACTTCGGAAGTGTGAACTTCGTGAAACTTAGAGTGCAAAGAGAAATTGGACTCATCGTTGAAAAACTACAATAAAAAAAATATATTAAATTTTCTTTGGTGAGTTACTTAAGATTACGAACGTTTTACTTTTATAATTCACTAGGTATATTTGTAAGTATGTATGTATGTGTTCATATGAATATGAAATATGTACATACAAATATCTAAAATGGTAAATCTAAGCACCACAACTGTATTCAACATCATTCGCCGCTTCGTCGACGAAAATCGGATAGAGGACAAGGGCAGAAATGCACCAAACAAGATTTTCACCGAACAGGAGGAGCGGAGGATCATCAGGAAAATAAGGGAAAATCCCAAGCTATGGGCTCCAAATCTGACTCAACAGGTGCAGGATGAAATGGGGAAAAAGTGCAGTGTGGAAACTGTGCGCCGGGTTCTGCGGAACCATGACTTTAATGCCCGAGTACCACGGAAGAATCCCTTTATAAGCGCACAAAATAAAGGGACTAGGATGACATTCGTCAAAACCCACTTGGACAAGGATTTGGAGTTCTGCAACACATTCATATATGAAGATGAGCCCAAATTCAACATTTTTGGCTTAGACGGACGGAATTATGTGTGGCGGCAGTCCAATGCTGAGCTGTGTCCCAAAATCCTAAAGGCAACAGTCAAGCACGACGGAGGAAGTGTCATGGTATGGGCGTCTATCTCGGAAGCCGCCGTCGGAAATTTGGTGTTCATTGAAACAACAATGGACAAGAATGTGTATTTTACTTATTAAAGAAAAATGTACTCCAAAGTGCCGAGAAGCTAGGAATCCGGCGTACTTTCCAGATCTACCACGACAACGACCAGGACAACAGCCAAGCATAAGTCCGGATTAGTACAGTCCTGGCATATCTGGAACTGCCCCCACAAGATTATTCCACAGGCCCAGATTCCAGACTTAAATGTTATTTAAAATTTGTGGGCTCTGCTGGAAAATAACATCCGGAATCACAGATCCGATCTCAAGAATGCTCTGCAGGATGAGTGGAGCAAAATCAGTCCAGAAACGACCCGGAAGCTGGTATTTTCCCTGAATAATAGGTTAGGGGAAGTTATTGAGGCTAAAGGATATCATTTATTATTATTATTAGGGGGGAAGCTGCACCGCGACCTATTTGATCTATTGTGCCCCCTTCTGAGCCTATAGCTCTTCCATCAGCCCCAACTCCCTTACGAACGTGAGGATGTTGTTGGGTTGAGGTCTACTATGTCTTTGCAATTCAAAACATGCGCCCCTAGGATACTGCTTCTTCTTCTAATTAAGGCGAAACATTCTGCCAGGATGTGCATCGAGGATTCCTCCTCTCTTTCACAAAACCTGCAGAGATCGCTACTATATATACCCAATTTTGTTAGGTGACTCCTTAGTCTACAGTGTCCTGTCAATAGACCGGTTGTTCCTAAGGTTAATCTTTCCCATGGTTATAATCTGTTTAAAACGTACAAGATTATAACCACCAAGGAGATATCTGGCTTGTCGGAGTCCTACTGCCTCTGACCAGCTCTGATGCCGCCTCTGTCTCTCCTCGTTTCTAAGTTCCAGTCGTTCTGGTCCTGTTAGGAGCCTTCCTGCCCCCATTCTTGCTTGCTTGTCAGCCGCCTCGTTTCCCGTTGTGTCCCTGTGGCCCGGGACCCATCGTAGGGTGAGCCTGTTGTGAGTCCCGAGCAGGTCTAGCTTTGAACGAACTTCATGGACTACCTTCGATGTTATCTTAGTCATTATAGCTTTCAATGCTGCCTGACTATCGGATAGGATGGATATATCCGTATTCCGATAGTTACGTTCTATGTTGAAATCCGCACATCTCCCTATCGCACACACCTAGGGATTCATGGTAGAATGCCCGAGAACCCACCACTCCAAGACCCGTGCCCTGATTCGTGAGTGATACATCGGTGTACCATTTTATGGTGTGCGGTTGCATGGGATGGACTTCATCCAGAGTTGTCCATTCCCTTTCACTACTCATACGAACTGTGAAATTTCGCTCGAATATGTATTCGGCTGCCATTTCGTCCCTAGGTTGCGTCAGTAGGGGTAGTTCGTTTGAAAGGAGTCGGGCATCTTTATGGCTTAGGATATGGTTGCCCCCAACTCCTTCTGCTGATATCCTGAGAAGCGTTGCTTTCTGCTTGAGCCTTATAATATGGTGGAGTGGTGTGAGCTCCATTAAGGCTTCAAGGGCCATTGTTGGGCAGGTGCGCATAGCTCCTGTCATACATACGCAGGCCATTCTTTGCAACTTTTGTAGTTGTTTCTTCACGGTGATCATCCGCGCCCTGTCCCCCATGCAACCACCCCATAGGTTAAAATGGGTCTTACTACCATCAGGTACAGCCATCTTAATGTCTTTGGTGATGTACCCCATGACTTGCCGGCAATACTACGACATGTATAAAGCGCCCTAGAGCATTTTAATATCGTGTTTTGCACATGGGTGCCAAAGTTAAGCCTGCTGTCAAATGTGACCCCCACGTATTTGACTTCCCTACTCGTTTCTAGTAGGGTCCCTGAGAGCCATATTTGTCTCATCCTCTGTAACTTATGTCGTCTGGTAAAGGGGACGATGACTGTTTTCGTAGGGTTTAGGTTGAGTCCAACCTCCATACACCAGTCATACGTTATCTTTAGCCCTGACTGGACTATGTCACAGAGTGATTCTTCAAATTTGCCCCGCGCTATGATAACAATGTCATCGGCATAACCTTGACATTGAAGACCACTGTTGGCAAGTCTGTTTAGTAGTTCGTCTACTAACAGACTCCAGAGTAGCGGAGACAACACCCCTTAGGGACAGCCTTTGGTGGTTAGGACTGTTACAGTGCTTTCATATAATGATGCTGTGGCTTGCCTGGACCGTAGCAGTGCGAGTATCCATCTGCTGGTTGTATGGTCCAGGCCTCTTCTCTCGAGGGTAGCATTGATTGCATCGTGCGATGTGTTATCAAAGGCACCTTTTATATCTAAGAAGGCGCACAGTGCTACCTCCTATTATCCTATTATCAATTGCCGCACTCAAAGTACGTCGCAGTTGGTAAAGTGCTGTGTCCGTGGACCTGCCTACTCTGTATGCATGCTGCGTTGGGTGCAGCGGCCTTTGCTTAAGCAAAGTACTTCTGATTTTGTAGTCCACCTGCTTTTCCAACGTTTTCAGTAAAAACGATGTTAAGCTGATGGGTCTGAAGGACTTTGGGCTGGTAATATCTTTCTTTCCTGCCTTGGGGATGAAGACTACTTTCCTCCACGCGCCCGGTATGTATCCGAGGTCTAGGCTACTTACTAATGCTTTCCTAATACGGGAGAGGAGTATTTCCTGTCCCGTTTGAAGGAAGGCTGGCGATATGCTGTCCGTTCCAGGGGACTTATAGGGCTGGAATGTACCAATTGCCCAATTAAGTATTTCCCTTGTGACTGTCTTTGCTTTATTAAAGAGGCGGCGTGTGGTCACGCGCAGCCTTTCTAGGCTGTCGTTCCACCATGGGACATCTTTTTCCATATGCTTCTTCCTTACCGGGCAGTTATCCTCAAATGCATTAATTATGCATTTGTTGATGTCCCCAATAGCCCTGTCCAGCTCTAGCGGCTTTCTGGTATACCAGATATCCCGTTGGCTAGGAAGAGCCCCAAGGTCGACTTATAGCCTTCCCAGTTGGTTTTCCTGGGGTTGCGACCTGGTGTGCTACTATCAGTATTTAATTTTAAATTAAATAGGATAGTCCTGTGGTAGGACATGGATTCCTCTTGGGAAACATGCCTGTCCCTAAGGTGAGGCTTTAGGGACCGATTGATCAGGGTGATGTCCAGCACTTCTTCCCTGATCCTAGTGACAAATGTCGGTGTAGATCCGACATTACCTAGTTCTAGATTATGTTTAAAAATAAAATCGGTTAGGCACTCACCCCTTAGATTGATGCCCCATATAGTATGGTGCGCATTGGCATCACATCCGATGAGCACCGGCATCTTCTCTCTCCTGCAGTAATCCACCAGCTCTCAACTTCTGGTGGTGGGCAGGGTGCATCCCCTGCGAAGTATGCACGATGACCATAGAGACCGCGCTGCTGGGTGCTGGATCTCTCCGATCCCAGATTACCTTTGAGTCGACTGTGAACAGGCCCTTGATGCCATCGTTCACCCTCGGCTCCTGTACCAGGGCCAGCCCAAGGTGTTTGTTGGTAAACATCCTTGCTAAGACCGCCGAGGCTGCCTTAGCTCGGTGGATGTTTACCTGAGCCAGCCCTGTGTTGATGCCCCTTGACATCTACTTCTGGGGAGGCTCCAGCTGACACGGTGAATGGTGCCCGGAGCCGTCCCCGTCACCGCTGCTCGACATAGTGACGTCAGCTGCAGCTGCATCCTGCAGCTCCTCCTCCAGCTCCTGCGAGGACATGGGGATATCGTCGTCCCCCAGCATCTCCTCCTGGCAGAGCGTCGCATCTGCCAGTTCTTCGTCATCTTCGAGGTCCTCCGACGGGTCGGTGGGCTGCGCAGTCGGACTGCCCTGCTCCGGGGCAGGAGTGTCCGATGTGGTGGTGTTGCCCACCGAGACATCCTCCCTGCCCGTTGGAGCAGGTTGGGGCCTTTCTCCAGTCTTCTTCTTCAGTCCGCTTACGGGGATGGTCCCGTAACGGAAGAAGACCTGGTGCCCCTTCTCCACAATTACATTCTTGGATAGTTCATCTATCCCGATCACCAGGAGGGCTTCTCCACCCTCGTTCCTCCTGGAGATCATCTTCCAGGTGTCGGTCTCGATCCTGTTCTGGTTCCTCAGCAGAACCAACAGGGATTCGGTAGACCGAACTGCACTCCTGGGGCAGAACAGCGTGATACAGTGGGGCGACGGTATGTCGTCCCCCACCTTGCACTCGTGCCCCTTGAGGCCCTTCCACGATTGTAGCCTCGAAGTTGCGATCCTTAGCCAATCGGCTGAGGTCTCATCGGAGCATTCAATTACCAGGAATCCAACCCGGAAGTGAATGCCCACGAATGAGACCGTGACATCTCCATCAGACGCAATGACTTCGTCAATGATGGCCTCTTCCAACACAGATAAATCTCCGTGACTGAGCATGACCCGTGGGAAGCCCACGGGCAACACAGCCACCTTTACCTTTTTTGCCATGTCTGCATAGGACAGGCGAGGCTCGGTGGGTGTCGGCGAGCTGGGCTTCGTGGCCGCTGCACGCGATGTGCTTGGGCGCAGGTCCAGATTACCTGCCCCATTGTTCTTCAGCACCTTTGCCGCTGCCGAGCCGCGGGCAGCGCTCACAACCCCCGAGCACATCCTCTTGGGGGTGGCCACCGGATGTGTGAGACTGCTGCTCCGCCTTTTCGAGGCTGGCGCGGGTGCTGCAACCTCCTCCCTGGGCTCTTTCATCTTTTTCAGGGCTTCATCGGGACTGAGTCCCTGCTGTAGGTACCACTTGACCCTTGAATCGCAGAGATTTCTCCGGTTCGGGTCATCCAGCCCACCGTGTTGACCCCTTGGTGGCAGGAGCTCTCCCCTCCTCTTTGGGCGCTGAGCGCCTTGCCTCGTGTTGGGTGCGGTGGACGTGTTACAAGTTGTTGTAGATGAGTTTCCCAAATGGCAACGTGCCTTGCAAAAGTCCCCAGACAAAAACACGACAATCTAATCGGAATCGGAGGAAGCCAATCGCATTGTTTCAGCTATGCAAACAGCTCGCTGAGGTAAGCAAAAGAATTGAATTTGATTTGATTTGATTCCATCGAGTCACACACACATTTGCAGCTTGAGGCGCCACCTGAGCAGTGTCAAATGAGTAGCAGCAGCAAAAACAACAAAAAGACGAGCAAAGTTGCATTCACACTTCATTGCTGAGCAGCTGGTTGAAGATGCAGAAATTATGCTTGACACCATACCAATCCATACCAGTGGTAAATAATCAAGCGCTGGAGGATGTCAGCGATTCAAATCCACCGAAGCAAGTGCATTTTAGCAGGAAGAAGTAGAAGCAAACTCAATATCAAATATTTAACTAAACAAAAGTAACACTCTAGTTTTTAAGCAGAACAATATCAAATATTTCATGTTTCAGTTGTAACAGTTGCTATAATAGAATATAAATTAATTTTAGTATTTTCACAAATAAAATGATTTGTTTTTCGTATTTTATCCGTTGCTCTTCTCTGGTCACACTGACAGCAGTGTGGCGCCCTTTGCGTAATTTTATGCTAAATACATGTATGTTCTCGTATCCTGGAAATGCTTCAATGCTAATCGATACGAAAAATGTGCCTATTCGGCATCCTTAAGGAACTAGCCGAGTTATGGCTTACCTCATCAATCGCCACTTAAGACTTTAGACCGTAAAAATACTGGGCCAATAATAACTTGAAAAATTGATCTAGCCGCATCCTTGACTCCCCCAATGAGAAACAGAAAGTCACATTTTGTTATACATTTGTTTTGTTTTTGTTTTATTCTTTTTTTCTTGTTTGTTTGTATTTGTTTTTATTTTTGTTTTGTTTGCTTTTTAATATGTTGTATTTAATTTTATATTATTATTTGTAAGCTTAACTTAAGGCATAAAGTTACAAACTAAAACTTAAGTGCTACACATAATTTTTTCTTTTTGTTTTTATCAATCATAAATCAGCTCTAGCCCAACGCGCCCTGCTGCGCATATTATTTGTATTATTATTATTATCATATATGTGGTGTTCATATATATTTGTTGTTGTTTTTTTTTGTTTTTGCTTTATTTAAATTGTCTGTCAATCATGCATTCAAAACTGTTTTTGTTCTTTTATTTTATATCCAAACAGAAAACCGAACTTAAAAGGAAAAAAGAATAAATTAACGAGTTGGTTGAAATTATCGACTTTGTTGCTGTTACTTTTTTTTATCGTTAATACGTATTATTATATTCGTTTTGCATATTTTTTGTTTTTATGTTTGTTAGACATACATTATCATTATCATTATCTTTTTCGCGATCCATCAGCTGCTGCTTTCATAATTGTTTTTTCTTCATTTTTTTTTTACTTTATTTTTTCTTGCTTTTAAAATTCGGTTATTTAATTTTTGGGCTGGCATATATATGTAGATATATATGGGTATATATAGATATATATATATATGCATGTGTATGTATTTATGTGTATAATTTATGATCCTGGACTCTGGATTCATTGTATTTAAACGGCTCTGTCCTTAGGTCAATGAGTACATGGGGTCCAATGGTCTCTAATACATACATATGTACTCACACACACACACACAACCGCACACACACAGACACACACACACATATACACATACATACACACACATATACACATACATACACACACATATACACATACACATACCATTGTTGTATAATTTTTTCACTCTCTCTCTCTATATATGTCCCATATTGAATGTGTTTACATATTTATTATTTATATATATATATATATTCAGATTTATATATATATTCACAAAAAAAAAATGGGGACATGCTCTTAACTTAAACGCTGTCGCAGTGGCTAACAGCCCTTGCAACAGTTGCATGTGTTGCGTGTGTGTGTATTATTTTTGTTTGTATATATATATATATATATAAATATGTATATATATACATATATATATATATATATATATATATATACATAAGTATATATATACGATTTGTATTATTATTTTGTAGATCCGTTTCAATGAATTTGCCGTTTATATATATTTATATATAGGTATATATTCATATTTATATACATACACATACATATGCACGCATATCTATACACATAAGTTTCCGTTAATATTTTACAAATTTCTGTTGAATAAGTCTTAGCGTTTTGTTGTTGTTTTTACTTCCTTTTTTGTTTTGTTTTGTTTTTTAGTTACATTGTATATTAAAAATATTTAATTTTGTAAATTGTTTTCTTATTTCTTGTTTTTTTTTTTGTTGTTGTAATTTTGCGTTTTGCATTTGCATGTAAAAAATAAGTTAAAAAAAAACGTAATTCAGTAAATTAGCTAAACACTAAAACTGTTTTTTTTTTTTGTTGTTTTTGTTTTTATTTTTGTTGTATGTAAGACATATGATTGTTATATAAAAAAATATGCATATGTTTATAATAATAATAATCATAATATTGTATATATACACATATCGGCATACATATAGAATTATTTGTTTTGTTTTGTT